TAATTAAAAGTTCTTCGTTGTAAAGAGTATATTTATATATAAGTATAAATTAGAGAGTATTGGTATAGAATCAGAATATTATTTTTATCTCTAAAATTGTTGTTCCTCCTACTCTCTCGTATAAAATGTGAATACTGCCACTAATGTAAGTGAATATTATGATAATATGCTACATCAAAAGGCCATTTACATTGCATTAGAAGCAGAATCATTTTCAAGTTATTGCTTGAATATCTCTTAGCCATTAGAGAGGTAAATTATGAATTGACTAAAAGAGTACGATAATACTAATTTAATATCGATAAATCAAATTTCGAGAACACGACGCGTTTTACACATATGATGGAGAAATGGAATGACTCAAAATTATAAATGAAAAAAATAGGGTATAAATGCAAAAAATTAAGAATTGTTAATGTTAGGGATATTCGGTATTGAGTCGATATGGTCATCTTGTTATAAAATAAGAGAAAATTGAAAGACTTTTCTGAAACATATTGAGGAATCATTCGGACTTTCAGAAAACAAGCCTTTTTAAAACTTAAATTAATATAATAAATATAAAAATAATATAATATAATTAAATTAATATAATTACATTATATACTGAACGTTTGAAATTCTCAAAAAAATTCAATAGTAAAAATTTATGTTTTCTTCTTTTTACTACAGAATAATGATTTTAAAAATTTAAGTATGATCTTAATTATCGCAGTATTTCATGTACAATTAATTACCACACACCTAATTTATGTACACTCATTTAATATTTCATGTTCACTTAATTACCATACACTAAATTTATGTACACTCATTTAGTATTTCATGTACACTTAATTCATATACACTCATTTAATACAATACACTTTCTTTCATTTTTCTGCTGTTTTAATGCTTTTTCATGTAAAACACTTTTCATTCGCCCAAAACTGATGCTAAAATGGATGCATATACTTTCTTATGTAATGGTAAAAACGTAAGTGCTTATACAGTGACTAAAGGTAAATTTAAATTCTTATTCATTAATAGCCAAATTTTAACTAATAGGAATATGAAATACGGATTATTCGATTATAATAAAGCATATTAAGGTTATCTGCCTAAGGAATAGAGTTACCCGCGTAAATGAGGACTGTGTGCATGATGATATTTTTTAAGGAAAATTAGATCTTATTCACATTACACATGGGAAAACCTACGAAAATCCCATACAGCCAATCCGTTTACCGAGATCTGAGTACACGTCGAAATATCAGTGTTTAGCAATCTTGTTGTTGGTGTGCAGACAATAAAGTGATACTATGTCCATTTGTTCTTCGCCTTTTAAAATTTAACATTAGTAATGTAAGCTATTCTAAAGACTGCTTTCTGAATATGCAGTTGTCTAGTTTTCCGCTAACTACTTGAAGTATTTATCCTTCCTTACCTCGTGTAACTGGAAGTTATCGCCATAGATAGGTCAAAATCCAGTGCCGTATGTGGCAGTAATTTCAACTGAGCTGGTTGGTTACCAACAATAATTCAATACTGGTATTGGTAAGTGGAAGTTCGTTCGGTAAATCTTTGCGTTCGGCTGGCAATCGGAAGGTCCGGAGTTCAAATCCCAGCAAGGGCATCGTTTATGTTTTATTTTTATTGCTCAGAATTAAACCCAAATCTCTACAAGTGGTGTCAAACGGAAATTTGATGGACAAAAATTCGTCATGAGGTTGTAAGGATCTTAAGATTTATATTTTATTTTTTACTATACTTTCTTATTTTCCACTTCCGGCCAGAGTTAAATGCGCTAACTTGTTTATGCAAATTGTACTTGCTAACTCCCAAGTATTTAAGTTGTGGCTTTTTGCCAAGAGTTAGTCTCTCCAGCACACTTCTACCTCCACGCGAGAAAATTTCTTTCAGGTTTCAACTCTGTCAGGCCCCACATGGGATCACATCAGGAACTGGCAAGAGCAGGATTTTAATTTCCTGCTGAAAGCCAGTATAACCGCAAAGTTCCAGAGTTCCAAGAGTTAGAGAGAGAGAGGAAGTAAGCCGCCTTGCCACTGCATTCTGACGAGTTTTCAATCAGTTTCTGCTTGCCTTTAAGGCCAGAGGTTTAGTCCTCTTGATATTTAAAACTTATTGTAGTTTCGGCAACTACCTACGTAAACTTTTGTTTACTACCTACGTAACCTTTTAAAAAGGCCAGTCTTAGTGTTAGGCATTTGTATACTAATTCAAAGTTAGCTTTTTAGTTAGAGGTTTAGTTAGTAGTTTTATATTTTTACGTTCAGACCACGAATGGTTGGTCTCTGTATCCCGAAGTACGGAAGCACCTGTAAAGTAATCGAGAATAAAGGGTTCAGTATACCCTTCCTGCTTGTGTCGTCTATTCCACGCATACTGGAACATAGCTTTAGTAAGCTCTCTGCTCCTATTCAGGATACGTTATATTTCCAAAGCAAGTCAAAAGACATACAAGTCCTGACAAGGTGAACAATAAGGAAATGTGTCGTTTATTTCTATCACTTATTGAATTGGTTATGGAAGTCAGCTAGTGTGGGATGCAGCATTTATTTATAGCTTAAAACATGAAAACTTTCTTTGCAGAAAGAAACGTAGATTAAATAATGGTTCCCGTAAGAACAACGCATGTCTTCAAATTCTTTATACTGCAACAGACAAGCCATTCAAGAACAGTTTGCTAGTGAAAAATCAGCGACTACATTGAAACTAGAATGGAGAGAAATCAGCATAGAGACATTGTGAAGCCTGGACTGAAAGATCTGGTGACTTGAATGAAGGTTTCATGAGATTTGTGTTGCTATAGCACTACGAGCAAGCTACGTAGATAGAAAGTGCTCATTTAAAGATAACTGTATTTCTGAACATGACAAGTTAGGGTGAACAGTCTTACAGTATTGCAACGTTTCATCATAAAATTACGCTGTTACGCCGAAAGAGAATATTCTGTTTTTTACGTTATGTAACAGTTGTTGCTGTGTTATTGTGATGTATTTTGTTGATGTCTTCCATTAAACTATAAAAGATAATATTATAGTCAAATTTGTTCATACCAAATCAGGGTTAAAATTAATAACCACCGACGTTAAGGAGTCAAATCCAGTCGCCTTTCGAATTCGACCACTCACAGGAATGCAGTCGCAAGAAACTCTGGCCGAAATTCGGAGTTTCGAGATTTATTACCCTGATCTAAAAGAAGTACACATGGCTGTATATCAATACATGTACATTTCTGTGCATGAAAGCGTATATAAAGTATTATGCATGAAAATATAAGAGATCTCTTAAAATAAGCGCTGACGCTTCCTATGATCGGATACTATTTTTCCTGAAACACGGTAAGCATAAAAAAACTCTAATGACTCTATAAATGTAATATTTAAATATAAATTATCTTTGTGAGTTTCCAACTATAACTTAAAAATAAAAAATCAGCAGCAGCACCATCTATTTATGACATCAGCATCACTCTAAATTCTGTTATCATGAAGTATTATTGAATACTATTTAGCGAAAGACTTCGCTTTTGCTGCAATGCAAATCCATGCTTCAAACATATTATATAAGATTATCATGGCAGGGATTACTTCGAAATGGCAAAGATAAATTTTCAAAAAAAGGAGGGTTTGAGAAAGGCTTGTCATAAGCGTATTACTAGGATAAATAGGGGAAACAACCAAATTAAAAACTACGTTTCAAATGCGGTTAAATAATACAAATTAAAATATATAAAATACAGATTAAAAAGTACACACACAACAACTTACTACAAATTAAAGTTAGAAATGTGTGGTACAAATATATATATATATATATATATATATATGATTTTTTATGTGTGTGTTTGTTATAATACTTTTACACTACAACTGTCTAAAACAATGTTTTCCATGGGGGAACCCACGTCCCGTAGACAGTAATTCAGTTGTAAAGGGGAACGGACTCGTCCAGAGTTTAAGAGTCCAGAGTCCATTAACGACTTTCAATTGCTACTCGAGCTGGCTAAATCTCCAGTATAAGTAACTTTTGTCCGCCATGTTAGTAGCCGTAATTTCATTGTTGGCCGTTAGAGTCCAACCACTGATTATACTAGGCCGGCACTAAGCATTTATTCTGAATGGAGCGAAATCTCAGTTTCTGCAGTGTTTCGCAGTAACGCTGAGCATTCACCGTTGGTACTAATTTGAAATAAGAGTCAGTTAAATTGCTGCAAAAGTCTCTTTCCTATATGTACATTGTATAAATATAAATGATATACAAAGGGTATCTATATTTAATGAGTAATTTTTATTAATTTTAATTTTAGAAGCATCATTTTCCAGAAAAATTTGTCAAATGAAAAATGTATTTTTTTCCGTTGGGGTAAATGTTTACATCTCCTAAACATTTCAATTATTAATTTCAATTATTAATTTAAATTTAAATTATTAATTTCTGCGTTTATATTTCATAATGTTTACATTCATTACATTTTGTTTCAAGGAAACAGATGTGCAGTATTTTCTCATGAAATAATTAGGGAGTTTCTCTAACGCCTCAACATGGCTCATTATTTCCTCAATCTTAAAAAAAGTATTACTTATTAATTACTCCTAATTAATAAGCATTCGCTTTACAGAGGTGAAAATTAATTCATAAATGAGCAAAATATTTTAATCAAAACAACATTATATATCATTCTAAGAAATTCTTTTTTAATAACTAAATGTTTTTAAAATTCTCATTGGTCTACTTCTTTAACAATAAAATTAAAATTAGACGTACACATATTAAATTAAAAGCATCTTAAAATGACTGGGCGAGGCACATTTCTACTGAATCTACCAGGTTTTCGAAATCGAAATATCTCGATCAGCAGATATCTGCAAGATAAATCTGACGGTTATCTATAAATAGTTATCTTGAGAACTTAATTTTAACAATTTTATAGCATAACAACATAAAAATAACTAAAAAAGAAGAAATTTATAAATTTCAAAACTACTAAAATTCACCTGAAAATGCAAGAACAGAGAAAATAATGAATATCCCAGTTCTCAGCCACTTCATTTTTCTGAGTACTATCCAACGATGATTACACTGCTTATAGGTCCAATAAAGAAGAAAGACTTTTATCGAAACAAAATGTCTGAATGTCTTTCCTAATCTAGTCGAATGCTGTGTGGGTGTTGGAAGAAGGGGTAGTTGAGATAAAAGTAATCCGTTTTTTAGAGATTGTCGAAGGTAAACTCTTCAGCATTTATTGTGTACTTTTCTCTGTATGGTACCAATGAAGGGTGCTTTCTAGTATCCTTTGAGTTGCGAAAGCTGACTGTAGAATAACCACAAACGATATAGTGAAATGCTGCCTATCAATATATTAAGAGTATCACCATCGATCTTTGAACTGCCTGGTCGTTAGATTGAAAGTGCTTCTCGAGATGACGCTTCTCTTTTTCTGAGATCTAAGTGGTTTTCCTAAATACTTTGTTTCATCTAAATATTCCTTTTTGAATTAAAGTAACCACTTATCTTACTACACAGCTTACAAACACGGCTTTAGTAAGGGAAGTCAGAACTGTTATCCTGATCAATTTACAGTCCGTTGCAGTTGCTAAATATCCCTCACAACGCTTTTGAGCTTTCGCTCTATGAATGAATATAAGTTGAATTTCTACCTTTTGAATCCGTTTTAGAGGTTATAACAAAGGAAAATGATGAAAGGTTTAATACTTAACGATGTATGTAACTGTGTGCTTAAATGCGAGCAACTTTCTCGTGAAAGATCCTCCACGAAGAATCGCTGCTCTTAAGCCCATATTCTTTGAATGCTTTGCTATAATCAGTTAATGAACTTAAACAATGTGAGCAGTTAATTGACAAGAAACGTCAGTTTGTTGCTTCAGGCACTTTATGTAAAAACTACTCGACATCTAGCCCCTGTATGGCCATGCAAACTCCCGGTGCAGCCTCACGGGGCTCCAGCGAGTTGCTTCTTCGAGATAGTGGAGGACGTGGGACATATGCCTGTTTACCTATGTTATACGCCAGGCGTCCCCGTCCTCCGTCACCTGTCACCTGTTTTCATAACTGCTGTTCAGAGGGGGTAGTGGTTAGTGATGCTATTGCCGTACCAAAGAGACTGGTTCGAACCTCGAAGAAGGCATGGATACTTGTAAACTTGCAGTGTTTGTTTAGCAAAGAAACACTCAAAATACACGGCAAGTCTAAATCCTCTCTCGAGGTTAGTGGTAGAGAAAGAGAGATGGAAGACTCTGGGACCGTCCGCTGGGATGTTCTTCTTCGGAATTCCAAACCGGAGCGGAAGCTTATCATTTAGCTAGATATAGCAATACCTCAATCACCTCTAGATTTTCATAAGAATGCAAAGTCTTCCAAAAGTAACTTTACCGAAGTGGTTCAGTATTTTGCATCTTTCCTAAATATTGCAGCAAACAATTTCTAAAACCCTTACGTGATATGTGAAATGTATATTGACGTCATTAATACAATGCATTTGTGTTCAAAGAATATTCTAAAGGTGGAAAGGTCAATGCACATAATTTCTGTCATCTCACTTGCGAACAGAGTAATATTCGTCGACACAGAAAATACTTTGACTCACAACGAGGTCACTTCGGATAAATCAATCATAGATTTAAAGTATCGAAAATCCAAAATATAACTGAAACACTTAAACTACAGAGCATCCCAGTTAGCTTAGCTTTAATCCTGCAACTGAGCAAAGTTATTGAATGCAAAGTCAGCTTTACAATAAAATTTCCAATAACTCGTGAATTTATTAAACAGTGTACTGAGAGCAAAAATTTTTCAGATGTACAGATGCTTATCAGCTGGAAGCACAATAAGAAAATATTGGAAACATTGCATTTAACAACTGAATGACAGGAATGCTACAGTAAACTAACTAGCCAATTATTCGGAATTAATCTTGATATATTTCTATATGTATAAAACTGAAAAAAGAGTGTATTTGCAGGAAGAATGATAAGTAACTAAATAGCTTACTTTTAGATTTTTAGTCAGAAAATACCCATTTTGTTAAAAATTATAAAATAAGTGACTAAAATTTTTTTCTTCTTTCCTGATTAGTGACTTGCGCTATCATTAATAAGAAAAATCTATTTTTTTACACTGCTGATATTCCGACTGTTATACCAGGAACAGAAACAAATATAGGAATCATATTCATTACACATACAACAAAATAACTGGAGTAAGACATGATTAACTTGCATTTGGTTAGGAGTATACAGACTGAAGAATTTGGTATACAGAGCTGTGCTATTTGGCAGCAATAACAGCTGTAATCCGTTTGGGCATCGAGTTGAAATAAGCTTGGATGAACACACGGGTACTTCACTACATGCTGATTCAGTTTTATGACAGACTTCATTAATTATAGCGGCTGAAGAATGGTGGTGTGCGCGTCTTTGCAACCCATGACCAGCTGATCTCAATGGATAAGAAACCTGGAGAACTTGCTTGTCAGGATAATAGTTGAACATTCTATGTATCGAAGAAAGTCCGGACAGCACGGGAAACATTCGGTCGTGCATAATTTCTTGTTGAAAAATAGAATCACGCAAACTTCAAAGACAAAGCCTTAGTCACGGGCCTTGGCGCGTCAGATACGTAACGGTGATTGTAAACATCACAGGCTAGGCGAACAAGACGTGACTGGGATATGTACCCAATGGCATTCCATAGTAACACCCCAGGTGCTCGGAACGAATGGCAATGACGAATGCAAGCTAGCAAGCTTGTTCTCTGCGGTGTTCCCATATGATACTGTGGGCAGAACTGAAATTTATTTGTAAAGACGACATGATGCTACGCGTGTGTCCAGTGTCGTCGTTCGTCGCACCACTGTGAGCTTGCCTGTCTCTGCTGCACCTTCAAGGAAAGCCGCAAGAATGGTCGCCAGGTTGATAGTTTGTGGTGCTTCAGAAGTCATTGCTGCTCGTGCACACCCTTATCGTCCTGCACACTATCCACTTTTCTGACTCAGGGTACATGACGTGGCTGTACAATCCCGCAAGGCTGAGAGGACAACATGTCTGTTCTCTCAGATAGTAATAACCCTCAGGCGCTGAAATCCTGTATGGCTTTTAGTATCCCCCTGCTGGGCCCATCGATTTCATATTCACTTGACAGTCATGGGATACTGACTAATACGAGCAGCAATGTCGTGGAACGATGAACCTCAGTCCCGGTAGACCACAATAGAATTCCGATGCATGTTGGTTGTACGTTTCTCTTTCTTACACAAGGTACAACACGACCTTTACACAAACAACCAATGTTCAAACCCGATTTCTAAATGAAGAACCTGATGTTTTGATGCTTGATCGGTATCTGGCCTGCAGCAGGTGATAGTGATCCCAACTCTTGCCAGTTATTGAACGAGTCCCATTAGAGCATGACTTGTGATACAACCGTAAAGAATATTCTCCAAAACAGATAAGTACCTGACGGGGATAGAACAGATTGAAGCGCTTTGCTTATCAAAACTGAACCACCAGGTAGGTCTGGCAAATAAGGAACCTGCTGTGCAATCTCTCACTTATACACAAGGTAGGTGATGTTATTCCTGCTTTGTGTACAAGCGCTGGAATGATAATTTGAATATCCCAGTATGCAAATTTTCATACAATTTTGAAGTTTATTGCATGCCGTTTCGTTGCATAACAGTTTTAATAGCCACCATTGTAATATTCTTGTTATCCAACTACTCACTATTATTTCTAATAAAATTTAATTTTATCCTCAGTTAGCAAAAATCTCTGCGTGTATTAGGAAGTTTTAATTTTCTTAGGGTACTTCACATTAACAATTTGTATTGTTTTTTTCCCCTATTTTGGAACAATAAATCTGTTCTGAAAACAACTAATAAGCTAGAATAATGTAATAAGCCCCTGTATTATGCCACTAGTGAGCAGGTATAGTCCCAATAAATGATGTGTTAATCTTCCGCAACCTTCTCCAGCGGCCTCCAACAACGCATTGTGTTCGATGCATTTGGGAACATTTACATACATTTTAGAGTATAACTAACATTACTATACGTATTTTAGAGAATAGTGTGTGTACAGAAAAGTAGTGGGATGTTTGACTTTGTTTTAATGTCCAGCACATGCTTTGAAAACAATTTTCGGGAAACCCCGAACTGATTTGTCTTTTAGTCATCTGATCACCGAAAATATTTCCTAGGATTCACCACAGATGATAGATAGATAATGCACTCGCAAGAAGAAGGAAAAGACAGACACAATTCTAAATACAAACACGGGAAACTAGACCCACATCCTGGAGTTCGGAGTAAATTCTATACTCTCCTGAGAGGCATTTCATAATTATTACATTTTTCACATATGGGCAACATTTAACTTCTTGATATATCTTAGTGTGATTCACATTCTAATAACTCTTACACATTTAACACCTTAGTTCAACAATTTTTACAGTTTTTCTTACATTTACGTATATTGTGTACGTACAGATTTATATATATTATTTTTAGATTTAGATATATTATTTTTGGTATGAAATTTTTTAATGTAATTTGTGTGCGGCATTTTTAATGTACTTTTGCACTGGAATTTTGGATACATTACATTCTTTCACGTATTATTGAGACACAGCATTTTAGTTTTGTAGCTTTTACATACTTTTGTACCTTATATTAAAAACATATACTTTGGATATATTTTCCAACTTTATACATACAGTTTTAACGTGCTGAAAAGTAAAATTCTTGGATACATACCATATATTTGCATGTTATTTAGATAAGTTCACTTTACTTTGTATTCTTCATATGCTTTTGCAGTATTTTTAAATCATACATTTGATATAACTCCGTTTGATTACCTGGTGAAACATTGTATTTCTTATCGATTTTTGCATATTGGAGCATGAGCTATTGAATTATTACAATGGATTTTCTATAATCATACATAATAATTTAGCTCATTTCTCTCTCTTTCTAATTTTACATAGTATTTCAAGTTAAGATATGTTCTAATATATTAATTTTGATCGTGTTTTCAAATGTTATTTTCATTAATAAAGGAGAAACCCTACGGTCAAATTTTACAGTCAAAAAAATCAAACATTAAAATCTTCAAGAATTACGGTATTGCATAAATGCAAACAATACTCATCTTGTTGTTAATGTAGACAACCATACATTAAAAAAATGAACAGCAAAAACTCATAGAATCAGCGTCCATTTGTTACTGATCATTCTAACTTAAACTTAAGCGCCAAAAGCCGTAAAATACGCTTTTATATATTTTTATCATTACAACATTGCTAAACCTGGTTTGATGATAAGAAATGTTTACTCAGACCACTTGTAAGATTTCATTTACTGCTGAACGAAATCGATACCTCTATACTGTTCGAATGATGTAGCAGAGGCAGAATTGGAATTTGTTTCTCGAAATTCTTCTTCTTACGTTAGATACCTTTCTTAAATAAGAATTGTGACCGGAAACAAATCTAGGACATTAAATTCAAAGCAATTCATAATGTTTCGCTGACTATATTAAACCTGAGATGTTCAGTTTTAAATCGAATTATTTGTCAAAGATTATCTGTCTAATTAAAATGTTAAAAATCTTTCTCTGAAGGAAAATCAAAGAGAGGAAGCTGTGCTTCAGAATTTTGGTTTGTGAGATATAAATTAGAATAAAATTTTCACTAACATGGGTAGGAAGTGTGTAGTACGATAAGAAAAATATAAGCTCTAAAGAAAGATATATGCAAATTTGTTCTAATTATGTTATAACAGTTAATACCTTTTTTAAAGCTAATCTGTTCATAAAAGATATCAGATTTGATGTAGAGATATAAGGTATTTCTCCCGCTTTCTTAGCATGCCTTCATGGTATAGTGGGCAGCACGCTCGACGCTTATTCGAGAGGTCCCAGTGGCACCCGAAATAAAAAAGGTGGTGGATGGTGATTCTCCACTACCAGGATTTGGCGATTGGATCCCCTTATTGACAGTTACCCTTTAAAAGGGGGAGTATATAAGGTATTTCTCCCGCTTTCTTAGCATGCCTTCGTGGTGTAGTGGTCAGCACGCTTGACGCGTATTCCAAAGGTCCGTGGTTCGAGTCCCTTCGAGGGCATTACTCATTTTTCATGTCTCCTGTTTCGAAATAACCTAATGTCTCTACAGAGACATTTCAATCAATGAAGAAAGAGGTTTATAAAATTAAAACCAAAATTCTTAAAATTGCCGTTAGGGGATTATACTATACCACTGAATTAAGATTAACTAACTTTACAAATTATTAGCTATCAACCTTCGTTAGTTTAATGCATTTGACAGGGATATAATTAGCTTTATTTATCATTGATAATCAAATAATATTCTTACGCTTCTGTAAATAAGCGGAAATAGTATGACAATACTTTTAAGTAGATTATGTAAGCTGTTAGTGAATTAGGTTTAATCTAGTAAAACTAGTTAGTGGTATTTACTTTGTTGGTGATATTAAAAATTAGTAAGCATTAAATCATTTTAAAATCTTTGTTGAAAACATCAGCCGAAAGACGTACCAAATCTTACAATCTTCTCTGCATTAAATCATGGATGGAAAATAATAAAAAAAAATTTCTGTCTAGGATTTGGAAAAATGTATGCTAGTTTTACTTTCAGTGAAAATATGAGCTATAATGAACAAAAATTTTGTTACATTTAATAGCTTGGGAAATATTTCGTAGCCGAAAATAAACTTTGCATTTCTTTTAAGGCAACATTCAACTAATTTTGCTAAAGCCTTAAATTTGTTGAAACAGACTTCATCGCACTTGATTGTACGTCGTTAGCATACAAAGATAACCCAACTAACCGGGTTTTCCGATTATACGAATGGGTTAAGGGTACTTATACATCTTAAAACCAATAAGATCTTCGAATAGGTGACTGTTGCAAGAATTTGGATAACTTATTTATTTCAAAAGCAATTACTTCCAACTTTTTACAGCTGACTACATAATATAGCTGCTTTCTGAAATAGTAATCAGAAAATTTGTGTTGCCACAAATATTTTTATAATTTAATCCGCTTTGTGACAACATTTTTCGTCATGTTTCCACCTTGCGCACACAGATTAAAACCTTCTGTTGCATAATTTAATTCCATATTTAATATATAGCTTTTATTGGAAACTACCATGAACCTAAAATTCTAAAATTTCATGTTAAATTTATATTTTATTTTGAGTTGAGTTTATAAAATGTATTTTATTAAAAAAAATTTTTATTGTTTTCGTCCATAAAATTTTTCAATATTAAAATATTCATCAGATTTTTGGTTCAGTTAGAAAATAGTGCCCTTATAAAGAATTTCATCCAATTTCAAGTATGTACCATTAGCCGTTTTTAAAATATCGTGCGCGCAAGGTGGAAACATGGCGAAATATTTTGTCACAAAGAGGATTAAATTACAAAAAGATTTGTGGCAACAAAACCTTTCTGGTTACTATTTTCCAAAGCAACTATATTATGTAGTCAGCTGTAAAAAGTTGGAAGTAATTGCTATTAAAATAAATAAAATATCCCAATTCTTGAAACAGTCACATATTCAAAGATCATAAGGGGTTTAAGGTGTATGAGCCCCCTTAAGGTTGTAGAGACATTAGGTATTTTTTTAAAGCAGGAGGCATGAAAAATGAGCAATGTCCTCACTGGGACTCGAACCACGGACCTCTCGAATACGCGCCGACCGTGTTGACTATTACACTAAGAAGGCATGCTAAGAAGGCGGGAGAAATACCTTATATTACCCCTTTTAAAGGGCGACTGGGTATTAGAGGATCCAATCACTAAACCCTGGTGCTGGAAAATCATCATCCACCACCTTTTTGAGTTCAGGCGCCACTGTAGAGCCATTAGGTATTTTTTGAAAGCAGGAGATATGAAAAATGAGCAATGTCTTCACCGGGACTCGAACCACGGACCTCTCGAATACGCGCCGAGCCGGCTGATTATTACACCCCGCAGGCGTGCTGAGAAAGCAGGAGAAATACCTTACAAGGTCCCATTTCTTTCACATAGTTCGAGTAAATATATTGACGGAATTATTTCATTCAGTTATTAAATGTTTTATTCACTGTTTAGATGCACAGTTTATGCACAAGACCTGATTTACGTAAGTTTAAGCGGGGCATATCCCCGAGGCCTTAATTTTCTGAGGGAACTCGTCCTCCTATAATATTTAAAATAGGTCAATTTAATTTATTTTAATTATAAGAGTAAAAAATATGAAAAGCGGGAACATTTTTTTTATTTCCTGTTTATTATATTTCCCTTCGAAAATCACATGTTGGATGGTTGTCTTACACTTTCACTAACAACTGATCATTTAGGAAAATTTCGATTTATTTCCTAAGTTTAACTTGCACTGCTAAATTCATATCACCGCACCTCATATGAAGCTCAAGATATCAGAAAAATATGAGAAAATTATGACTTTTTTATGAGTTCTCTCATATTTGATTATTACGCTTATAAGAGTTCGACTGCACGATTTTGATCTTATTTTTGTAATTTAATTAAGTTTCCTAACATAATCGGAATACAATATTTCTTCCCACTTAAACTTCTGATTATTCCTACAATTTAAGAAAATTAATCAAGTTTATTAAACTTACTCAGTAAAATAAATTAAATCGGTTGATTGCATTCTGGAGAGTAAAATCAGACTAAGCATCTTCAAAAAATTAAAATTTATTAACGACATTCCATGTTTACAAAACAAAACAGCAACAACAAAGAAGAATTTTCAGTATATTTCATAAATAAATATTTAATATCAGATTATTTTTTAAATGAACTAATATCTGCTTATGATATTAGTAACATATACATAAATTAAACATATGTTTTGAAAAAGTGTTTCCAGGGCGTACCCGTACTGTACCTACTTACAAGATAATGTGCATTTCGAATTAACAGTTATCATTTTTCTGATAAGTGGAAAATTTAAATTAAACAGGCAGCACCAAGCAACAGCAGCAAACACAAAACAAAGAAAGTACTCAAAAGTTTATGGTTATGATGAAGCTAAATTAAATATTGAAACAAAAATTCTTAAAATTGTTTGAATTGATACGATTTTATTAACTGTTATTGTCTTTCTGAGTAGGTTCGTGATTTGTTTCCTTTTCTACTGTATTCTTTTCTGCGTATTCCTCTTCTTCAAGAGTCAAATCAGCTAATGCTTGAAGTAAATTAATTGATAATTCTTTGGAAAGTTTCTTCCTTTTGCTAATAAAAAAGAGAAAGATGAATGAAAAACTGCTAGATAAATATATACGATAAAAGAACAAAAGATTATTAATAGTGTTACTCTAAATTTAGCACCATTCGAGATCCGAAGCCACGCACAACAGAATCAAAAACAAATCCAGGAATACTTCGATTTATTACGTTTCGCATTTCTAGAAGTTCAAAATTTATTGCTATCCAGGACCACGCTAATATATCGGCGCTATTTGAGTAAACGTATTGTTTGCTTTGCATTTTTACGATATTTCTAATAGTTTTCATTCTACAGGCAAATCTTTCAAAAATTATTATATTGAAATTATGTAAATAAGGGTCGTATCTATGTGTTCAGTTATTTATTAGATTATTAAAGTGGTTTCCGTTTGTTAAAATTATCCACTTTATGAAATTTCGGGGTTTTTTTCCCAAAAGACTGTAATGTCTCTAATGATTGTCTGTCTAAATTTTATTCATTTAGTACAAACATCAATTTGAAATTTAAATGTGAGCAAAATTCAGCTTTATATCAAAGTTGGTTTTATAAAATTTGGTAAATGCCTTTTGAAAGAGAGTGTCATGAGATTCTCTCACCTACAAAAGAAAGGCTCATCAGCGACTGAAGTAGCTGAACACTGGTAGTTCAACCCGAGTTCAAATTCCCAATGAACGGGTTTGCTGCATAGAGGTTTTCCTGATTTTCGCCATGTGTAACGCGTATTTGCGAGCTAGTTCCCATAAAAGACATCCATTCCTTTGGGCAGATAGTCCTCACAGTCAGTCAGATAAGCCAAACTAAATCAAATCTTCAAGATGAATAGAAACATCTAAAACTTCTTTATCCAATTTTCTTTAATGGGAAAAGAATCTTTTAATGACATTTTTAATGTTTGTAAATGTATAGTGTCCGAGCGGCATGCGGGCACTAAATATGCGGCGAACCGAAAGTCCTCTAGAGAGGTTGGTGATAGGGAAAGAGGATGGGAGACCTTCGGACCCGTCCCTCCGGGATGCTCTCCATCAAAATTGGGGACGGAACTGACCTAAATCGCACTGTCACTTCTACAGTGCTCATGGCTGTTTCCAAACGACATGCGTATCTTCCGCTCCTTACCACAATTGATTTCATGGCCTTGGCTGTTTATAGATCAGACAAGTGAGAATTAGTCAACAATAACAATTTTCCGACCAAACTTAACTTTTTTAGGCAAGGTCCGTTTAATCCTCAACCCACTAAATGCGTCTGCGGTTAGTCCGAAGTTGACTGCACAATCGCTTTTAAAACGTTCTGCTTTTAAACAAAAAAGCACGCCTCTCTGCGTATCTCTGTGATTGTGCACTGTCGATGAACTGAATTATCTCTGTCTATATACTTTTTAAGTTATTTAATTTTTACTTTTTCATTTACTTTTAGATTACTCTGTATTTACAACCAGATTTACTAAATTTTATGCCACCAGAATAATATAAAATTCTTCCCCTTCGCCTTTTTAGTTATGTTACAGAATTTCTCTGACTCTCTTAGCAATTTATAATCTGATGATATGAAAAAAAACTTTGATAATTATAAAATTTGTAACAACATGTTCATTATAATCATTTACATATTTTATCTTTTATTAATTTCATTTACACATTAATATATTTTTATATTTTATTTACATCTTCTTTTACTGAATTTTAAAACATACAGGGGTTGGACAAAAATATGGAAACACCTTAAAAAAAACATGTTTCTTTGCTTAATATGGTGTAGGAAACCCGTTGGCATCCAAAACAGCTTGCAGTCTTCTCGGAATGGATAAATACAGTTCCTGTATGTTTGCCAAGGGAATTTTATACCATTCTTCCTGCAAAACGGTGGCAAGTTCAGATAACGATGTTGGCGGTGGATAACAAGAACGCACTTTCCGTTCCAAAGTAAACCACAAAGGTTCGATAATATTCAGGTCTGGTGACTGTGGTGTCCAGGGGAGATGGGACAACTCATCCTCGTGCTCAGAAAACCAGTCCTGGACAATGTGAGCTGTGTGAACAGGGGCTTTGTCGTCTTGGAAGACACCATCACCATCGGGGAACAAAGTTTGTACCATGGGATGTACTTGATCGGCCAAAATGTTGACATAAGTCTTGGCAGTCATGTGCCCTGACACAGTTATCATGGGGCTAGCAGAGAACCACGATATGGCTGTCCAAACCATAACAGAACCCCCGCCATGTTTCACTCTTGGCAACAATCAGTCTGTATTATAGGCTTGAGATGGCGTTCTCCAGACGTAAACTCGGCCAGAAGTGGGAAACAATGTGAAAGAAGACTCGTCAGACCATATTACTCGCTTCCACTGCTCTATAGTCCAGGCTTTAAGACTTAAACACCACCTTTTCCTGTTACGGGCATTACCATTACTGATGAGTGGCTTCTCAATTGCAGCACGGCCAGCAATTCCCTGTTTATGAAGCTCCCTTCTAATTGTTTTGGTACTCACAGGGTTCGGTAACACAACATTCATTTCAGCAGTAACTTTTGCAGCTGTGGTCTTCTTATTTTTCGTCACAATTGCCCTTAATGATCGTCTGTCACGATCACTCACTACACATTTTCGTCCGCGATGTGATTTAGCAGATGATGTTTCTCCGCTTTGCAAATATGCGGAATAAATCTTCGATACAGTACCTCTTGAAACACTAAACACCTCGGCTACCTTGCTTACGGAAGCACCTACCATACGTGCTCCAACAATTTGCCCACGTTCGAAGTCTGTTAACTCTGACATAATGCAACGACAACCTCACATAACAGTACTCCGACAACAACTGAACTGTTTAGCACATTTACGAAGTTGTATAGGTGGCGTCAGTAGTCAAACACGCCAGAGCCACCTACATATTTCATTAAAATCAATCTTTCTTTTCAAACATGCATTTCACAAGGTGTTTCCATATTTTTGTCCATCCACTGTATTTTAACAATATATTTGTATATTACATTTGCCTACTTTATTATCCCTTTTAAGTCACGCGAATAAGTATTTATCAGTATTAAAAAGATATGTATCAATGTTTTTAACTTTTCTTATCCGGCATAATTCAAAAGTAAATTTTTCCCTTTAAAAAAATCGCTTTTGACTTCTTGATGCATAGTACATATTACTCGTGCTAGAAAGCCAATTTATGGTAAGATTCGGGTATTGACTAAAACAGAGGTCGCCAAAGTGGTCTATATAGACCCCTAAGGGTCTATTTAACAACAGTAGGGGTCTATCTGTCCCAAGGGGTCGAATGGGGGTCTATTGGGACTCGAAGGAAAAACAGTTCTTAATACGCAAATCACACATATCTAACTGCGTACGTAAAAATTTAAAATATTTTTATAATTGACTTAATATTATATTCTTTATAGAAAATAAAATAATAAATCAGAAAAAAAATCTGCCCCTTTTTTCCTTATGGGTTTTCGTATGTATACCGTAACGTCACAAACTTGACCTTGTGACCAGTTCATAATTTGCACGACTCATAGTATGTATTAAATCTATAGTATTAAATCTATATATTAAATCTATTAATCATAGTATTAAATTATTAATCAAATTAAAGCTCAACCTCTTAAATCAAGATTATTTGCCAAACTTTGTGAGGAAAACAATGAGTTATTTAACCAATTACTTCTGCACACCGAGGTTAGATGGTTGTCTAGAGGTGTGTTAGGCTTGCAACGGCTCGTCAATTTATTTGACTCCACGACAGAATTTCTGAACGAAAAATAAATCCTATTCTAAGCAATGAACTCCAAAACAATAAGAACCATATTTTTTATTTAGCAGACTTATTTGGAAAATTTAATGACGTTCAAACAAAACTGCAAGGAAAAAAGATTGTAACAATTATCCAAGCTCGGACAATACTGTTAGGCTTCCAAGTAAAATTAAATTTATTTAGATCTTCATTGCTACGTAAGGATTATAAGTATTTTTCAAATCTGCAACAATTAAAAATAAAAGAAGAAGACTTGGAAATATATACAAATCATCTTCAAAAATTAAGCGACGATTTTAAACTGCGCTTTGTTGATTTGCAAAACATCGACATCCCTGATTTTCGGCGCAAATTGATAACGTCGACATCAACATACAAGATGAGCTTGCTGAACTATTGTCCGATCTTGAAGCAAAAACGCTTATTTTAAAACTTTGACAATACATGAATTTTGGACTAATATAAATATAAAGCAAAAATATGTGAAAACTTTTACGAAATGGCTCAGCCATTTATGCTGGCGTTTCCAAGTTCGTATATGGTTGAACCCGGTTTCAGTCACATTAATTCAATTTTAACTAAAAACAGAAGTATAAATTAAATGTGGAGCTTAAAAGGGGACTAATTGTACGGTTAAAATTGACTAATTTCGAACGCAATATAGCGAACCTTGCCAAGAAACACCAGGCACACTTATCTCATTAAGAGTAAAAAATCTAGCTACTTTACTTACTGTTTCTGATTTATTAAATATTTAGACTAATATATAGTTTATTTTAATTACCTTAAAATTACCTTTGTGGGGGTCTATGGAGATTTCGAAAAATTATATAGGGGGCGATGATCAAAAAGGTTTGGCGACCCCTGGTCTAAAGTAAGCTGAAAGTCAGATTTTCAAGAATTTTAATTACATATTTTATTCAGCGCTTTGACTCAAGTTCTTTCTTAAAAGATTTTCTATTTTAGCTTCCGACTATTTGGCTAATACATTGCATTTAACATTTTTTATAAAAGTGTCCTTGATTTTTAATTGCTACAGTCAGCTGGTTCGACATCGAATAATATTCCTTTAATGTCGCAATGCATAATAGTATGTCTTTCTAATTGACCAGTAGCACGAAACTTCCAAAAATAAACTAGAAACACTTACGTTTAATACGATCTGCAAGATTATATTTCTCAGACGTTTTTCAATTTCGTTAATATTCGTTAGATATTTTTTTTTTTTTTTTAGTAATTTTTTCCCAATACTATTTTTAAAACATTAAGCTATAGTAGTGATATTTAGTATACTTTGTTTAAAATAGTAATAATATGAAGTTACATAATTATAAATGCCCAGCATTTATTAAATATGTACATATGTGTATAGAAATAGAATTTTATTTGATTTTTATTGAAATGATTAAAATGTCCCTATTTTTTCTTCTAATTATTTTATATCATAGAATGAGAACTCTTAAATGATTTTGTGTAGTCCAAAAATCGAAAGCATTATCCATTTAGCAGTTTTTCATTACTAGACTATCTAGTGGAAATTTGGTCAAACAAAATTTTATTTCTTATACATTCAAAACTTTTTATTGCTCGCACAGGCTTTCATTATTTACAGTCTCTTGACATCTATGGCGAGACCTCCTTTTAAAACCTTCAATAAATTCAATATTTTAAATAAAATTTCCATATTTTGGGCTTGAAAAATAAAATATTTTCAAGCCCAAAATAATATTTCAAGCCCCAAAATAGTTATTTTGCACTATCATTTATTTTGGGGCTTTCAAGCTCCAAAATAAATAACAGTGCAAAGGATAGTGTGAAGGAGTTAGATCTGAAGAAATATTGTGGATGGATGACTGAACTCGGTTCTAGCTTCCGTTTCTAACAGGTACTGCAACAACATACAGAGGCTGTTCACACATTTTTTAGACGATATATATTGTATTCACAAAAATAAATTACATAAAATTGTGTTTTAAATGTTCTATTTGACATCCCTTATTCTGAACTATCTTTCGACACCGCAATTTCCAAGATAATAATGCCTTTTGAAGTGGCAGAAGAGGTATTCTATCCCATTCCTCCCAAACAGCTTTCCAGAGTCCTGTTAGGGTTTTGAGGGTATGGCTTTGATAACAGTTTTTTGTTCCATTTCTTTTAGGAAATTTACTTTGGATTTTGATGTGTGACTGCTAGCTTTGTCCTGATGGAGTCTCACAGATGGATGGCACTGTGAGTAAAGCGATGGTATTTCATTCAGAAAAATTGGCGATAAAATATGTTCCTGATAGTATTTGAGTTAATCTTGACATTTTTTTGCACTCTCTTTATTTTTAACTTGCCATTATAAAGAAAAACCAGCAACAAATCATGAATCCCTTAGAAAAACTTTCTTTCGATTCTTGAACCATGTTCTTAAATTTTTTTCTCCCCTTTTATGATAATAAATTATCTTTTTTTTTTTTTTTTTTTTTTTTTGTTAAAATCATTTAAATACATCCATGCTTCATCTATTGTGACAATTGTTTTCCATTTTCTTTGGATAAGTGTTTCTCATATATAATTCTGCAGCGTGTTCTGCGTTGAGCGATATGCTTTGGAAAAAAGACGAATGCACATTGCGTTTCTTTTTTTTTTCGCTTTCTTAAGATTTAAATCAACGTTTATCATTTTGTTTACAGTAGACACCGAGCATTTTAATGATTTTGCAACTATACATTCGACTAGGGGGATTTTCTTTCAACATTAAACAACGTACCTTTGCACTAGTCAAAGATGTCCGTTTTTTTCCTTGGATACTTGTTTGAAATTTTTGTTCCACTTGAGGCACCAATTCTGACTTTTTTTTTTTTTCCTCTCTTGTTGATGATATTACCTATCGACGCTTTAGATATCACAAACCCATGACTCTCGCATCGTTTTTGGATAACGGAGTATACATAGTTCTCTTCGGAAAGAGCGTAAATGTAGCCCTCGAACCACTGCTTTGTTAAATTCGCCATTTTGAATAAAAACAAAACTTTCAAGCCACAGACGATAATTTTGACTTTTAAAAACATAGTACAATTGCAATTATGTCTTTTGCAGCGAACGATTTTTTATTACAGCTTACCAAAATCGTCTAAAAAATGTGCGAACAGCCTCTGTACATGAGCATTCTCGGGTAAAAATACAAGATGTCCTATTTTCAAATTTTTAACAATTTGTAAAGTATTTCTTTATGATGTAGTACTGTCATCGTACATGCTTTTCGTAATAACCCCCAGTAAATAATATTATTCATCTACTTATGTCCATTGGCCACTTCACATAATTACGAAAATTATAATCGTAATTATAGATAGAAGTGATACTATTGTATGAGTTCTTAAGATTCCAATAAAAGTTTTGTGCCAACTGATGTAAGTTGTACTATGTCCAGTTCTTCACTGCTTACGTTGTTCCAAAGAAACCACAAGCAGGAAGCGATTTGTTTTAGGAGGCAATTTCTGCACAGTCTGAAGTTGCTTTCGGTTGGTTGTGCAAGAGTATGCCCAAACGGGACAAGCATAACTGTGGATGAGACGCAATAAAGTTTTGTAAATGTGCAGTTTGTTGTCCAATTAAGGGAAAAAGTTTAGCTTCACGGACCCGGACCTTCTGTATAATAAACGCAGATGGAGTAAGTTCCATCTTCGGTATTGAGATTTCTTTTTCATTTAATTCACATACTGTGAATTTGAGTTAATGATTAATATATAGCATTCAGTTTTCGTCACCCAATGACTAACTATTTGTAGGACGTTTCATACTAAGAAGCTAGGTAAACATTGCCACGCTACTTAGCACCATCTGATCGAGAACAATTCGTTGCTGGACGCATTGTTCATATTCTCAGTTATTTCAGAGTTTCTTCATATGAACATGAACGTTAGCTTTGGAGCATTCAGGAAATATCTGTAAACCATAACGTCCACAGTAATGGAAGGCCAAGGATCGAAATTGCCCGAAAAGTTTAATCTTCAGTCGAAAACTTAATAGAACCATTCTTTCAATGTGCTATTAGAGATTTTATCTTATCGTGTCGATTATACAAGTTCTTTTAAGCTAGCTTCACCGTATATCCTAACTTTTATTCATGAAGTTTAAGAGTAATCTCTTATTAACACGTCAGACTCATTTCATGGTTTATTTTGTGGATAACTAAATATCTTTGAATATACATACGAACATGCACTCATAAGTACAAGCGTAGAAATGTCTGAAAACGTTAAGTAGCTACAGACATTTTAGAAGATCATCTAGATTTTAATCGCACAGCTTATTTAATTTATTATGAGTAAATTTAAAAAATTTATATCTGTACTTTAGATGAAATGCTTATTTTTGCAAAAAAAGCTAAAACTATTGCGAGAACTTGTGACCTTGACCAAACGAGGACGGTTTCGCAGTAAGAAAGCATTAAGCTCTCAGCTGTAATAGCATAGTGAATAATTCATTTTTTTTCTTATATTTACACCAGATCTTCACGTGGGATTAATTTACACAGAAATAATATTATAGCACATTTTGTTTTTGTCATTTAGCTTTGTCGTTTTGAACAGGTGGTTTTTAAGCAAAAGGCATTTGTGCAGGTTTAATTTTTGAACTTTAATTTCTGAATTCGTCTGAATTTTTGATTTCAGAAACTTATTCTTAAACTAGGTCTATTACTTTGGCCTATTACTTAAACATAGGCCTACTGTAACTGCTTAAGTTAAAATTCTTTCAGGAGTTAAACTGAATCTCCTTGCCCAGATCACAATTCTTAAACTTCAATCCGAAGCTTTCAAACTGCATTTTTTTCATCAGCTGCAATACTTAACTGTTCTTAATGATAAAAAATTCATATTACGCTGCAAAAAGTCACGTTAAAAGCAATAGCTATTCAATAAAAAATTAGTAATAATAAGTAATAATAATAGGTTAGAACCTAAAACAAATAATATTTATTGTCAATTCAGCGATTTTTTGTTTGAAGAAACACGAGAAGACTATTTGCAAAAATTTATGATAAAAATAGAAATTACTTTCCAATTTGATTGAATACTTCCGCAAGTTTCTGGACTTTTGTAAAGTTATCTTCGTATTTTCCCAGTAGGCGTTTAATAGGCGTTGATATCGGGTTCTTGAAATCATCGTAATTCATTTTACCGTATTCGTTTGCAGGTATGTTAGCACCATGCTTCAAAAGTACTTGACAACACTTCAGATGATTGCTGAAAATACATTGAAAAGTATAATCAGAGCTAATTTATTTGTTTATAATACTAATTTTTAAAAGATTAACATAGATCATTGATGATTTTTTTAAAGAATACATAAAACTTTTTATTATTATTTTTTTAAATTCCATTAAATTATACAAATTTGCAAATGTGTTACAAAACCAAAATGCATCTTCTTTAACTTCAAATCAAATTACTTATGCTTGTGTCCCTAAAAAAAATTAACAATGTCTTTTTTTAAAAAACAGATAATTATTTTAGAGTCGTGTTAATTAATTATTATTATATTCTCATACAGAAGATTAAAAAAGCATTTATATAAGGTACACTTACTTCATGATGGCTAACCACAAAGCAGTTAATCCATCTTTAGTCATACTTTCTATGGGTATTCCTAAGCTAAGGAGAACCTAATTTAGAAAATTAATCAATTAGAAAATAATGAACTAGCTTGTAAAAGTCTAGAATCACATTAATTAAGTAACTTAAATTATTCAAGAGGCCTCACAGGAAGCTGCAGAGAAAGAAAAGAAATCATCGGCAGCATATACTATCGTCAGCCAGTCGTCTGAAAATGGTTTTCCTTGATACCACCGGATGCCTGGAAGATGGTAAATGACGTCGAATCGATGCTAGGGACGTTGTTAGTGCGGATGTGTACTAATATTATTGCGCATCCTGGCGCTCATTTGTGTTCCTGGGACATGCTGACCCACCGCGACGGTACACTATCCCTTCCGTGATCCATTGTCGCCAACACCAAGTACTGTACAGGCCCTTATTTTCGCGGGCCGAAATTTTCGCGAAAATGAATATATCGGTGATTTCACGAGTTGAAAATTTCGCGAATTTTCTATGAACAGAACCGAAAGTTGAAAAATTTCAAAAACACCTAAATAAAGTTGAGAAAGTTGAAAAATTCTAAAAGTACGTCTTTTGCATAAAGCATTTTAAGAAACTTCCTTTTGTCCCAAAAGTTTGTCCTCCCCCGTTCCCACCTAAATGGCGAGTTCAAGCGTTTGCTCAAGAATGAGTTTATTGAGTGGTATTTTAATGAGTTTCAATTTCTTCAGGAAAAGGAATCTGTGGACTTGCGAATATCTCGACTGAAACCGATTCACGCTTCTTGGTTTGTGCACGTATTTAACGATATTGAAGCCAAACATGAGATAATTTTGAATGGCTTCAAAGAAGCTGGTATAAATAGTATTTTAAGTGAATGAGCTGCCTTCTATTAATTTTATTGTTTATATTCGAGAATAAGTTTATATTATTCAAATAATAGTTTAAGAAAGAAAGGTTGTCATAAAAAGCTTTGTAACTGTGCAATAAATCATTAAATTTTGGGTAAGTGAAATTTTGCTGCTTTGTATTATTTGTGGCCGGAAAAAAAGTATTTCGCGAGGCTTAAATTTTCGCGATTACGACGGGCTTGCGAAAATCGCGAAAATAAGGGCCTTTACAGTAACTACCATTATCGCTCCGACAAACGTGGCGGCCGATACGCCTGTTCGACCAACTTGCGTCTCTGAGACCTACTGTATGCCCCTTCTCAAAGTCGGCTCAGGAAAACGTGAGTGGTTCGCTGTGATGGGTTCCAGCGTGTAATCGCTAACCAGGAATAGTTGCAGTGTCGATATTCGATTCCGTAAAAGTTCCTAATAGTTCTAAGATGAGTGAACACATAATCACAGTTTTTAACAGAATGTGCAGCTCGGGTTCCATAGTATGATATACACGAAAACAGTCCGAACGAGACTAACGCCTGGAACTGTCAGCCGTTGAAGTCGGAGAGTATGTGCCCAATTTTATAGCCGTAATTAAATTGAAATTATTTACAGGATAAAAAAGAAGTGCCAGTATTTGCCAAGAACAGTTTCTGAAGGATAGTGAGAGTGTTAGTAAGTGTACAAGAACAATACATAATATAATAATAATAATAACAATTACAATACAAATCAAAAATGTAACAAGAACATGAACGGACATATGTATATACCAGTTACAAATATGAGTTAGCAAAACATTATTGATTTAGGTGGCGAAGAACCTCAAGCGGCCTTCTACGATTATCGTGACTTTCATAATCGTAGATTAACACAGGAATGGTGCTGTTTTGCACATCTGGAATTTTCATAAAAACTTTTCCAGAAATCTTTGGAATATAGATTTGAATTTAAGAACTTTTAAGCTCCCGGTGAATTGCCGTGCTCCTAACGAACCAACGACAGGTCCGACAACTGTTCGTATTGCCGCCGGTTACGTCTCACAGGCTAGTCACAATACCGTCCATCCAAGTCGACAGATTCGCTTGAATAACCCTACGCATGAATAATCATGTTTTTAAACCCTCCTGCGCATCCCAGTACCCTTGTCTCATTACCTTTGTTATCAAAGCAGGAATGTAGTCTGGTAAGAGGTATGCAAATTTAAATCTTTTGCATAACCAGACTACATTCTGGCCGAGTTTTGTGATTGTGACTCGATTTCTTCTTAGTGCATACATTTTTCGTGACCGAGTGTATATGTTTGGTGCTGCCGATTGCAACCAAAAAAGGGAGGTGCACAGCTACGTGTTATAGCAGTCCCAAATACAAAATTTCAACCTTCTGAGGATACTAGTTTTTGAATTATGCGAGATACATATATATAGACGTCACGAAGAAGATGTCTTTTGAATCCATTTTACAATCCGTTTTAGAAAAAATCAGGTGTGTACACCACATGACTTCCTTGCACGGAACATTAACTTATATGCAATTCACCTGCATTTCATTTAAACATATTGAATTAACATTAACTTTGAACTTAAACCGGATAGCGCATAAACCACAACAGAATAAATACCCAAGCACTTTATTTTTACAGGCCTCGGCACTATCACAAACAGCAGTTAATCGCACACTTGTGCAACAAAGTTTTATCCTCTGTGAATTACCACAAGGTTTTTTCAAATGACTACAAAATTTAAACGATATATAAAATAAATTAAATAAATAACATTTTTCACATACGATTCCGCTTGCTACCTAATGCGCATGCACCACTAATTATTCAGTTCACACTTCGCGGCAAGGCAAAAATACATAAAAATTCAAAATATTTTCATTAAAAATTGAAAAGTATATAAAAACATAAAACATCAAGTACGGTTAATGTTTTTAAATTTACAATTAAAATTACAGTTCCTACGTAAAAACAAGCTAATAACTTAAATGATAATTCCAGAATGAATTAATCATAATTTAATTCGCAATAATAAAATAAAAGTAGATGTTACTTTTTTGTTGCGAAGCTAAGTTTCTCAAGATTGGCAACAAATCCATTATTCTGCTATGTTTCAAATGTAAACAATTATGGCCGTTATGGTAAACAAAAATTAGGCTTAGACGCACTTGAAAAATTGTGGATTATTGCATACAGCATTAAACTCTTAAAACGCCGTGGTAATTATCGTCGTCGTGATTAGCTCTCCTTCTAAGCATTATGCCTTGTATTTTTTCCTGTATGCTAAAACCTTCCCTCTTTATATCGTTTTTAATTTAAATGCATTATTTATTCGGTAACACCAGTAACCTGACAATTTGCTTTTAATTTGATATTAATCTGATTTTAGATAGCTCTTTAACATGCTGTAAAATACGACACCGCCTGAAGCAAATAATGTCTTTAAGAAACATATGAGTAAAGCTGCCTTCTGCCAGCAAGAACATTATGATTTGCTACATTTTACAAAGGTTTTCAAACTATCAGTGTGCGGAACATTTTTACTTATCTCAACTTACCTCAATAAATTGGTCCAAACCTTTTGAAGCTGCAAGATGAAGCATATTCCATCCATCTTCATCAACAATTCTGCAAATGCAAACAGCTTTAAAATTTCATTTAATTATTGAATAGTGCTTGATTATATGAAAAGTAGCATTTAGTTAATAATTTCAAACGCCTTTTGACGTTTCACGAAAATCGATCTAAACTATTAACTTTCTTCGCCTTATTTTGAATATTTTATGAGCATGAACAGCTATATCTTATCGAGTTCAAGGTCATAATATAATGTATTATTCCCGCCTTCTTAGCATGCCTTCGTAGAGTACTGGTCAGCACGCTCGACGCGAATTCGAGAGGTCCGTGGTTCGAGTCCCTGCGAGGGCATTGCTCATTTTTCATTTTTCATACTTTCAAAAAATACCTAATGTTTCTACAATATGAATGAAATAAAAGTAAGCTAAAGTTTATATCGAAATAGAAAATTCTAACGATATTCAATGTAGCTATATATTATAACACATGCTTTCCGTTATGTGAAATAGAGTGAAGTCGAAACCATAAACTACAAGAAAAAAAGTTTTTGGTTACTTAGAATATGCTGCGATAAATATTTTTATCTTCTTATTCTTAAACTAAGTATGAAATAAAAAGTACGACTGCTTATTAAAAAACATTGTGTATTTTTGTGTCTCCGTTTCCCAAACGTAATTAGTGAAACATAGTACATTTGAGTAATGTTAATAATAACACGGGGTATTTCAGAAAGTGATAGTGAAAAAAATATGTATAAGTGATATTCATACAATCAGAAAAATTGCATGATTATCACTTTTAAACTATCACTTAAACGATTGCCTTAGATCCACGGTTCCAATCCAAGTAATTAAACGAATAATATAGGATTCTAGACTATATTATTTGACTATTCTGGTAGTATACATGCTCCGCCCTAGGTACTACACGGAAAGGGAGGGTTAGGTTAGGTTATTTAATTACGGCAAAGCCTCGAGGGCCATCTGCATAAAGGGAGGGATGCCTTCGTGGAGGACTTTCTAAGGGAAACTGGCTCATATACACGTTAAACATACAAAAAATACAACCACCCATGCAGAGAGCCCGTTCGCGGGATTCGAACCTCGGACCGAACTACCAGTGTTCAGCGACTTTACCGCTCGGCCGCTGGTGGGCGGAAACGGAGGGATGCTCTGTGGAGGTCTTTTTAAGGGAAACTGGCTCGCAACCACAGTACACACGGGAAAAACCGCGAAACCGTCCATGCAGCCAGCCCGTTCGCTGGGACTCGAACCCCGAACCGAACTACCAGTGTTCGGTGCTTTTTACCGCTTTACCGCTGACGGACTATAATAATACATATGCTGCATTTATTCATATTTAATATGAAAATTTTGTATGGACCCTCTACGAATAATATTATAAACTTATAAAGCTAAACGTCATACATAGAGCTTTTAATATACTAATCTTATCTTGAATTATGGAAAGTTAGACATGAGAAAATTTTTCCAAAGAAAAAGGAGAAAAATTTTATTTCAAGGATCGCGTAAAAATTGAATTTCATTACATAAAATTGTTGATATTTTGTATTCTGAAAATGTAAATTTACAGACTATATTTACCTCTTCAACTCCTCTGGCTTACAGTGTAGGTATTTTGATTGTATGCAATATGATTCACAATTTTGTATTAAAAATTCACTTACGTTTTGGAATTAAATAATAACTGTCTTTGGTGCAATATTTCTAGAATCCCGAATTCTTTATAAAAAAATCAATTAACGATGTATAATTTAATTCTAAAAACATGGAGATGTTTAAAATTAAGCAAAACAACAATCTCGCTTTGGCGCAGAAAATAAATCTCTGTCAGTTTCGAGGGTGACCAGACACAGGTTCCTCTTATTCAGGAGCAAAATATTCTGAATTATGAACAGATTTTCGTTTCCTCTAGAAGAAGAAAGATTGGATTGCCCTCAAAATCAACAGAGTTTTATTCAAAGGTTAAGACAAAATATGGTTGTTGTTTTGCTTAACTTTTAATTTTACATTGGTGTGTGTCTCTTCTAATTTGAAGTATGACAATTTTTTCTTTGTCTTTGTTTTATTAATTTGGCTATAAAGAGCACTCTTTGAAAACTTTTTCCTGCGGGAAAATATAAAAATTTAGATTTTGTGCGTATAGCAAATCTATCACAAAATTAAATCTGTAATAGTTCGAAAGCTTATGCTATTAAATTTATTTCTGAAATTGCAATAAAAGATCAATTAAGTGCGATATCGTGGCACAATTTTTTTTTAATTCATTGTATAATGAAACTGAGTAGTTTCATTATACATTGAATTAAAAAACTTAGAAAAAGTTGAAGCTCGGAATTTTAAATAAACCTTTATTAGTATAAATGCCAGATCCTTTTTCTATTCTATAAGTTATTATAAAATGTTTACTACTGATACCAGCTAAAAGCGGATAAATACAAAATGGCAACTTAAATGAAAGAAAATGTTTCAGTCTTGAAACATTTGTAATTAAAGAAGTAATCTGGATCATTTAAACAACTCAGAAGTATTAATAAATAAGTCTTTTGTCTATATAAACAAAGGATTTCCATTGTATCATTTACTTAAAATAAATTATTTTGAATCTCAGCCTTATATTATCAAAAGGTGCGTTATAGTGAATAGCGTTACAGCATATGCTTATTGGAACTGAACAATCATCAGTGTATTCAAATATGTTTAAAATTTTTTATCTTTTCACTAAACTGTTAAGAATGCTTCGCAAAATGTATATTAAAAAATCTGATGTGTACATCACATGACTTTCTTGTACGGAATATTAAATTAACGCATTTTTTTTTTCATTTCTTTAAACTTATTAGATTGAATTAAACTACTTCGCCTACATCGCATAAACCACAATAGAATAAAGCATTCTTTAAATTACTTGTTTACATAGCAATACTTGACGCTACGTTCACTTAACAGTATTATTTCGTTCATATTATAACTCAGAATGCACAATTTATATCATAAAGAATTATCTATCGTTGCCACAGGTTCTATTCAAATACTATAAAAACTAGAACGAGATAAAAAATTAAGCAAACAAAACAACAAAAACAGTTTTCACATCGTTGAGTATTTCTATTCATTATTCAGTTTTTCACTTCGCGACAGGAAAATACAAAAACTCAAAATATCTATATTAAAAATTACGAATAAATCTTAAACGTTTATCCTCGAAAAATTCCAGAAAGATTAAGCTGATTTAAATAAATGAGGCGTTCTCTTGGTTGCTACTAGTGTTCTCTGATTCAACAAATCCGCTACTCAGCTTTTTCAAATGTAAACAAGAGCAAGGGACGCCATCAAATTAGGCTTAGCGGCACTTAAACAAATTGTTGATATTCTAAAAATATTGCATCCCGATTTACTAAGGCATAAAACCCCTTAACCGAACATAAGAACAACATAATTCAATCATTTTTAAAGCAAAAAATGTACAATTACACATATAAGAGTAAAGAACTGAGATCACTGAGCCGGTAATAGAGTATATTATTATAATATACATGTTATAGCAGTCCTATATTATACAAAATTCCAACGTTCTAAGGCTATTCGTTTTTTGGTTTGCGAGATACGTACGTACATACGTTCGTACAGACGCCACGAAGAATCTCTTCAAATTCATTTTAAAGCAGTTATTTAATAATTTTTTGGAGAAAAGAGTTTTTATTCTGTCCTTACTTACAGATACACGGAAATACATCGTTAACTGCATTTTAAAAGAGGTCAAAATGGGATATTTCGTTGAAATATGCTGCCTGAAACTTTCGCGATTACAATACTTCCCTTTTATTCGTACAAGGAAGTAAAAACTAAATCTTCCTCAACGCAATTAGTTTAATATTATTTTTTAAAAAAAATAGAATTTAATATTTTGAATGTTCCTATAATAAATATGATGTCGATACTACATGACTTCCTTGCACGGCCCATTAAATTTTACACATTCTGCGCTGCATTTCATTTAAATTTATATTCTCGAATTCCATTAGAGATATATTTCTTATTCAATCAATCCAGTTCTCACTTCGTGGTAAGGCAAAAGTACATAAAATCTCGAAACATCTTTATTAACAATTGTAAAATACAGAAAAACATAAAATACCAAATGCAGTTAAAAACAATTAAAAAGATTCACAATTAAAATTAGACTTTCTACGCAAAAACTGAAATTCGGCTAGAGGGCAGGTAAGCAGATGTTTCGGTGCACAAAACTGAGAGTTTACGTTTGGCTCACTCGGCAAAAAGACACTGCAGTTGGTGCACAAACTGATTTAATTCTGTATTCTACTATGAGCTTTAAATGTTAGCAAATGGCAGCCTCGTTAGGCTTAACTTAAATTTGAAATTGTTGATAATTCTACAACTATTGAACGAAGATTAACTAAAGGCATAAAACCCTTAACCGGAATATAAGAACAATATAATTCAATAACTTTTAGAGCAGAATATGCGCAATTTACGAGCATATAAGAAATTAAAAAAAAAAGGAACTCACGGAGCCGGGAAACAGAGTGGGTATATAGTATGTAAACGTTTTTTTTTTTTTTTTTTTTTTTGCGGCCGATTGCAAACCGAAAACGGATATGCACAACAACATGTTATAACAGTCCCACACACAAAATTTCAAAATTCTAAGGCTGCTCGATTTTGCGTTATGCGAGATACATACACACGTACAGATGTCACAAAAAAATCTCTTCTGAATCCATTTTACAATCCAGTTTGGAAAAAAAAAAGTGTTTTATTCTATCCGTACGTATAGTACGTAATCACGCAAAAACATCGCTCAGGATGTCAAACATCGATGGATTCGAGAGTTGTCAAAATGGATATTTTCGTTGAAATATATTACCCGAAATTTTTCTCGATTACAATTACTTCTTTTACGTCGTACAAGGAAATAGAAAATGGTAGAAGATTTATGATCTGACAAGATAGAAGGTGTTTATAAAATAAACACAAGTAAATTTTTTAAAAATTTGAAACTTTAAAGGACTTGAAGGAAAAAACAAAGCTGTGTTTAAATAAGAATCTCCCAGTTGTCATTGTGATCCTTACAATAATACTCACTCGAAAAGATTTTCAGTTTCATTTGCCAACTCTTCAAATGTTTCCAAGTCTCCATGGTCTAAAGAATCAAATAGAGCTCTATTGGACTGTGAAATGATTTCAATAGAGTTTCTTTTCAATGTCTGAAAAAGAAAAAAAAAACATAGAAACTAGAACAGTCATTTTAATGATGTTACACACTGAAAATAGAATGAAAATGTTTTAAAATCTCATAACAGGAAATGAATTATCCTCCAGGAAATAAGATTTCCATATAATCCTTTCGAACAGACTTCGTTCACACGAAAACTTTGAGGTTACAAGAGGCATAAGCAAAGATTCGTTGCTACGTGACAGAAATTTTTATCAAGGTTTTGCCTAAATGTTCTAACTTTTCTGGGTATGCCAACTTTGTATAAAAATCTACCAATCACAGAGAAGAAAACATAAAATAACATTTAGTCCACGGTTTTGTTGAATCAGCTGCACCATTTACGCATATGAAACTTTACCCTCCCTGACTGGCAAAGATTTAAACCCTATTACACAAGTGTGAGTAGACTTTCACATTTTAAGCCTAAGTTAGTAAATAATATGACTAAACCATCGTGGGAATGGCCCCTTCCTGCATAATCTAGTCATTCGAATGTTGCACATTGCAGGAAAAAGTAATGAACTATTATAAGTGCAGAAGACTGTGATTCTAAGTGCTGTGTGTAACGTTAAGTCCCAATTATTATTTGTAGAAGTTAATATGACAAGATATTTCACAGGGAGTACTAGAATGAGTTTATCACTAAACGGCAAAACATAATTTACAAAGCTGTGATGAAATGAAGTTAATGATGCTTATAAAAATGATTTCTACATATTGTCCACAACCCCTTATGTTATTCACACTGCCCCCTCTAAACCGAAAGTAAAGCTTATCTGTATTTTTCAAAAGTGAATCCTAAAAAGAATATCTCATTCTTAACACATCTAAATGAATATATCCTACGAGGTGAAGTTCGAGGGATTCACATTTCTTAGTAATAATCACAAAGTAAGTTCTGTTTTTGCTTTTTAACTAAAACAATAAAATATTGCCTTTCTGTCTAGACAAAAATTATCCCGTGTTAGGAATAATTTTGTAACTCATCCTTATTGAAAAAGCTAGCGTATTTTTTCCCTAGCTTTTAGCATCAGGTTCTGAAAATTAAAAAAATATTCGCGTAGTTTTCCCCTTTCTCAACTTGTTCAGAGGAAGAAATTCTCTAAATTAAAAAAATGAATTCATATACATAGTGATTGTTTTCATCTTACTAACAAAGACAAACCTTTGCAACTATCTGCGAAAGTCAAACCTAAACTTTCCATTCCAGCTATTGAACTTTTTGCCAGCCTAATTAATACAAGAACCAACCTATTGCCATTCAGTTTGTAAGTCAGCTGCACATTTACCATCTATAATTATTAATGGATAATTTGAAATTTGAAAATTAGCAGAAACAACATTAAAAATGAGCTAGATTCAAGTTATAGGAAAGTAGAAATGAAGATATCTTACTAGCCACGGTAATGTTAATGTTGTATCATACTACGTATTCTTATTGGAATGTAAGTTTCTTTTTAAAAAAGTAATATTGTGACAGTTACTTATAGTTTATCCATGATAATTTTACATTTGTTATTTTTTTACTTAACCGCGTCCTTGGGAAATTAAATTATTCGCATAATTTTTCTATCTCGATTTTTAGACAGTAAAATTATTTTTAAAAAAGGGAGAAAATTCGGTAAATTCAAGATACTTGTAGATCATAACCGTTTCAGTTGTTTTGTATGTGTAAGAGAAATAAATTTTACAGCATTAATAAATTAATAATAACCAGATACTAGACTGTAGATTTGTAAAAATGTTGAATAATCCTCACCTGTTGGGTATAACACTCCTTACTATTAGAAACCTCATCTTCGCAAGAAGCAACAATACCATCATCCTCTTCTAGCAAAGACTTCTTTAGAGCTATGAATTTTTCCTTGAAACTCTTGTCGAATTCCGAATCAGAAACTTCACACGAAGAACTTTCAACTGTCCAATGGCTGCTATATTCGGGTGATATTCCGTCATTTTCCTTGAAGCTGCTTGAGCATTCGCTGTTGTCTTCCACTTCAGATGAACTTTCCGATGAGACTGAAGCCATAGGTATATACGTTGTTTCATTCTCTGTGCTTGAAATGTGTTGCTCTTTTAGATATTTTAAGTCCCCACCCTCTTCGGAATCTGAATGAGGGACCGATGACAGAACTTTCTCGGTATTTCTGTCTTTGCGAGAATATAATAATCTTTTCTCTTCAGGTGGGGCATCAGCTTTCTGTTTAGTTTCCTCTTCTGCTAAAGTACTCGAATTGGCATGTGAAAGTTCGCTGTTTGAAGATTTAACAACGTTATCACTCTTACTCGAATTTCTTGCTTCACTGGAAAAGCTTTTTCTCTTCGATGCAGCCCCTAAGCTTTGGAGTTGAGAAGTTTCTGTCTTTGCATTACTTATTATACTTTGAAGTGATGAAGATCCTTTTCTTTTAGTACTTGCTACTTTGAGAATTTGGCAAATTTCTTCCGTTTTTTTGGCTATAATGCTCTGACCTATGGATAAGTCTTCCAATTTGTTGCTTTCTATGACGTGATTGCTCGAAGAAGCATGCGATTTGGCATTCAAGTAGCTTTTGGACACATTAGTATTCTGAGTAACAGTTTGGAATTGTTGCGATGCTTTACTTGAAACTTCCATAGATATATTTTGCTTTACTTCGCAGTTGTTTGCGAGAGAGTTTGCTACTTTGCTTTTGGAAGATACTGCATTAGACAACTTACGAGTTACAGTTTCTGTACTTTTAGAACCTGTTTCAGATGATGAAATTTCTTCAGTCTTCTTGATGGAAATATCTGGCCGAGAGACGACATATTCTGAAGCAATTTCTTCCGTTAACATGCTCGCATCGTTCAATGTATCACTTTTGCAGCAAAATTCTCCATCTGAGTTTAAATTTTCTTTCTCAAAACTTTCTGATATACTGTCTCCTGTTGCTCTAGAAGAATTTGAGTGAGATAACCTTTGTAAATCCTTAGAAATAGTTTGGGTTCCTTTTTCTAGCATGCGTTTGGAAAATGATTTATTGGTAATAGGTTTCACAGCAGTTGGAATCTTGTATTTGTTTACTGTTTGATAGGTAGGAGTTCTGGCAGAAGATGGGACTTTGGGTAAGTTAACATTCTTTTGCATTATAAATGGTTTCTTCTGCACAGTTTTTGTAGGAGCTAAATGGATTAACAGAAATCAGTTATTGATAATCCTTCACATTTAAATAAAACTATACATTTCACGTCAAGATGCAAGCAAATCAAACATAACAAATCATAAAATTATGTTTCATTAACTTATATTGAATTCATAAAGTGAAAGTGAATCGGAAGTTTTCAGATGTAAAATTCTTAACATTTCTTTTGTGATACTGCCGCATCTTTCCACTGTGTGTATAATCTCTAAACTACCCGAATTTGAATTAGAAAATTTAACATTTTGTAATATCAGATTTTGTTCTGAATTCTTTTTTACAAATTTACACAAGTATTTACACAGCGGCTGGGACTTTAAGAAGCAGCCTCCTATGAGAACCCAAATGACACGAATGAAAGCAAAGCCTATTTCAACATGCTAAAATTTCGTTTTAAGAAAACACGATCGCCAGTTCTAAAAGTCAGTTTTTGTGCCAAAACTTTGTTCATTTCGCATTTGAAAGGGAAAGGGGAAAAAACTGTTTTATAAAAGTTACATGAATAGTTGATTATTTTTACTTCTCCACATAAAAAGGATTGACTGTAACTACTATGCAATCACTAATTTTGGTGCTACTGTAGAGAAATTAGATTATTTTGAAGCAGGAGACATGAAAACTGAGCAATGCCCTTTCCAGGACTCGAACCTCGGACCTTTCGAATACGCGCCGAGTGTACTCACTGTTACACCATGAAGGCATGCTGGAAGGAGGGATAAAATACCTTATATACTGCCCCTTTTAAAAGGCGACTGGAGATGAGGAGACCCAGTCGCCAAATCCTGGGGGAGAATCATCATCCACCATCTTTTAATTCGGGCGCCACTGCAGAGTCAATATAGAATTTTTCGAAACAAGGAAATCGAAGAAATGAACAGGGCTCTCCCTGGGACTCTAACTCGGACCTCTCGAGTACGCACCGAGTGTGCTAACCGTCACACCACGAAGGCTTGCTGGAAGGAGGGAGAAAATGCGTTATACCATAAAAGAGAATGCTTCAGCAAAATGTATTTGGTTCGAATTTTTCAGTCTTTTTGTATGAAAATTGATTCATAATGAAGGTATCTTTGGTTATGTTCTCAAGTAAAGTTCGCAAACCTTTAATTAGTCATTATTAGTCAAACCTTTAACTAATTATTAGATTTTGCTAGTGATCATTAAATTTTGTTACCTTTAATTAGTCATTAAATTTTGTTCGTGGAAGCATCACGTCGCGAAAAATGAAAACTCTTCCTTAGTTGAAGAGTTAATTTTATTCGAAAAATACGATCTTTTCCGTCAAGTAGCCAAAACGAACCGTCCTCTGGGTTAGAAATTTCACATTTCACCCTGAATAAAATTGTGAAAAACAGAAATGCAATTTTAATAGCTAATTTAAATTTCCAGAGAAAAGAGAAAAAAGAGATAAATGTAGCTGATATTAAAAGATACCCTATTGCAGTAGTTTTTTAATACCAGAATAAAGACTATAGCTCTCATTAGAAAAAATTATTGGGAAAATTGAGAATTTTGGCGGAAAATTAATAGAAATTAATTTCCGGAGAGCTGATTTAATAAATCGCTGGAAAAACAAGAACAGTATCGTTTACAAACTAAATTATGGAGAGAAGCAGTGTGCAGGCTCTGTACAGACGTCCTTATACATTACTCGAATTGCAACTGTATTTGAAAAATTCCCTGCATATGAAATTTTCAATACAGTCAAAGCTGGGTTATATTTTTAGAGCAATATTAGAGCATCTCAAAAAAGTTCAAAAATAATGCATCCTCCATTGGGACAGAAAGGAAAGAAAAGAAATCGAGTTAAAATTTTGTTCAAGACAAAGCAAATCTATTTTAATAGAATAAGAAAATTTTCAGTGATTTTGCGAAAATGCACTTAATACATTATAAGATAGTTTATAAGGTATTTCTCCCGCCTTCCTAGCGTCCCTTTGTGGTGTAGTGATTCTGCACGCAGGGCCGGTATCCAGAGGTCCGTGGTTCGATTCCCGGCGAAGGCGGTTTCTAATTTTTCACCTTGCCTGCTTCCAAAAATTACCTAATGTCTCTACAAGTTTCTCTCTCTTTTTTCGTGATGTAACGGTAGCACACTCGGCGCTTATTCGAGAGGTCCAGGTTCGAGTCCCGGCAAGGACATTACTCATTTTTCGTGTTTCCAACTTCAAAAATCCAAATGACCCTACAGAGGCCCCCGAACTAAAACGATGGTGACGATGATTCTTCACCACCAGGATTTGGCGACTGGGTTCCCTAATCCCCATTCGCCCTTTAAAATGGGGGAGTTTTTGCATGCCTTCGTGGTGTAACAGTAGCACACTCGGCGCATATTCGAGAGATCCATGTTCGAGTCCCTGCTAGGGCATTGCTGCACATTTTTGACGTCTGCAGCTTCAAAATAACCTAATGTTTCTACAGGTTAATGGAAGATTAAACACAAACCGCTGAAACATCTACAGAGACCTGTGCTTGCAATCCATGGCAATTATGGATATGATTGCATTGTAATCAGTACTACATGTTAAGAATTAACTTTCCAAAACAAAGCTTTGCTATTAAGAATTTAATTATTAATGCGAAATGGAGGGGGGAACTCGAAAACTTCAGGAATTGCACTCAGTATGGTTTATATTACACATTAATCATTAAAATTACGGTTAAAAACAAACCTTTTCCTTATCTTTATAAAGTATGAAATAAAAAAGATATTTTGAACCTCTTTGTAAGAAATATAAATAAGTTCGTATTTACCTTTCTTGGTTTTCTGGCGTATCGCAGGTCTTTTCTTCTTCGATTTCTGATTTTCCTATATAAATGAAAGATAAAACCAGTAAACAGATTAGCAAATGTTATCTTCATTTTGCTGGCGCATTTAGTTATATAGTTGCCTTTAAAATTGTGCTTCCTATTTCAAATATGAACGCGTGTACAAAGAAATAATACCATACGTTTATACATATGCATATTGTTTCCGACGTTATACTGTCTTAGAGCATGGTTAAAATTACCGTATTTGACGGCATACAAGACACATTTTTTTGCCTAAATTTGGTCTCAAAAAAGTTACCTGCGTCTTATACGTGAAGGTAATTGCATTCAATAATTGTTTATTTGGCTTTTACGAAACGTGAGAACTAAAAGAAACCACGCTATTGAAACTTTTTTTCCTTGTGTGAGACCGTCTAAATAAGGGTGCGTCTTATATGCCGTCAAATACGGTATGTGTTTTTATGAGTGTCCATTTAATTGGTGCAAACATCATTCTTACAATATTCATCATTATCATAATTTACATTCCTTTTCCAAGAATCAAAATGATCGTTTGATGGAAATCCATTCTTTCCACAGACTGTTTCTATTATAGAAATAAGCTTACTTCCATTATCTTTAGCTTGATGAATGCTGGCAATATCATTTGGATCAACAATGTATTGTTTCGCCCAAGGGTGATACTTTTTAAAAGTTGTAAGGTATTTTCATCCTCTTTCCGCATGTCTTCGTAGTGTAATTTGAAGCACATTCTCGCTGCGTTATTCAGGAGATTCGGAGTTCGAATCCCGATAAGGGCATTGCACATTCTTCACTTTCAAACACCTATATAACCATCGTTAGCTTATATAGATGCTGGAAAGTGAAGAATGTGCAATGCAATAAAATAACAGCACATAGTAAGAAATATTTTTTCAGGAAATTTGGTAAGATTTTCTCCAGTTGCGAATGGCTCCATTCAGTGAAAGCTTGGTTGTTTGATGGGTCTACACATCTCTTGACGAATAAGATGCAATATTTGCAATATTCTTCATCTTTAATTTTAGAATAAGCCCAGCGCCAAATGTATTCAAATAATAATAAATGCTTAAATTTTCTATTTGTACTTTTATTGATAAATAAAAAACTTAGAAATACGTACTTTTCTGTTTGATCCCAAGTATTTTAAGGCAATCCAGGTTTCCTTTTTAATTTACTTTACCATTTATAAAATTTGACATTTCGTCTTATTTTTAATCGTCATTTCAATTTTAGATAAAGGTTTCCTAGAGGTTACTACATACTTGGAGAAGTAAAGCTTTGCGGATAGGTACCACGTTCAGCTCGCTATTGAGTTTTATCATTCATCGCTTAATATGCGATAGTTTTTTGCTTGCATTGTATATTTTAATTAAGTTTCATTACAATTTTTACATAATTTTAGAGGGAATATTGTCTGTTTTCAGTCATTAAGAAATCAGTGGATCAATTCAGATTTTTGAGTATGTCATTCTATCTGAGTTGCTCAATTATAAGATTAAAAACCATTAATAGTATTTAATTGAGTTACTCTTCATTAACTAATTAGTAAATATGAAATTAAGAATAGTTTAAGTCTCGAGTCTAAATAAAAAAAAAAAAATTTAAGAACGATGAAAGAATGCGCTCTTCTCGGCAAACTCAGGTGGTAGTTATTCTAAATCTCACATTCAGAAATGTTGTAAAATGAACTGTAGGAAAGAAGGCTAAAAAAATAATCAGTTCGATTTAACTAAGGACAGCATAGAGACATTTTCATTTCAGCAGCATTGGAGATGAGAGAAAGAGAAGCGTTGCTGAAGCAACGAGGGCCTGGGTCCTAAAGGAACATAAAACAACTAAATAACATAAACAGCTTAAATAACATAAACAACTCTCCAGCCGTTTAACTTTTTTTTTTCTACATTTGAAACTAGTTTCTCCACTCACAGCGTGACAGAGTTCTTAAACAGGATAATTTTTTTAATACTTCAAACTTAACACATGCATCTCAGAGTCGCCAGCAGGCACTGTTTCATAAGCTCCTCTTTGGAGAAAAAACTTGATGGAGGACGTTCTGGGGATATATTGAGATTTAAATGTAAGCATTCGGAAGAATAGGTTATTGATATATTCTCTAAAGATGTAAAAAATAAAACTTTAAATTCTCTCACCATCCTGTACACTATTCAGGAGACTTAACAAGAATGTAAACTGTTCAAGATACTTAACAAGAATGTACCGGAGGTATAGTTACAGTTAGAAGTGGACCAGACACCAGAATTTCAACATTTGTCATACAAGTATAGTCACACCACACTAAATATTTGATGAAATCCCAATTTTGAACCCCCCCCCCACAAACGGATCCGAGCGTCTCTTGGATCCCTCTTGCCCTACCACTAAAACTCTCAAGGATAGTATGGATTCCAACATGCCGCAGAGAAACTGTACGCTTACAAACATCAATGCCTTCTCAAAAATTCGAACTCAAGGCCAACGATATGGCAGCCAGCTTAGATAACCATCAGGCGAGTTGGGGCTACTGTCCTGGAGATACACTGGGATGTGACATTAAGCACACTTTAGAATGAATATAGTATTAGGGAGTATCGGAGAATGCCCTAAAGATCTACGCTGAGGCCATGGATGACATCTTCAGTGTATCCCTGGAAGGTTTTTGTGCTGTCTCATAAACAACGCACCCTTCAAACTCAGCATATACATAAGTAAGCATAACATCTTCTCATATGCCGTTTATGGATTAAAGTTTAGGCTTATCAGGTTCTGTGTTCCTTCTTACTTGCTTTGGGAACATTAAATGTCCTGACTCGGAACAGGGAGCTTACTAAAGCTATGTTCAATAAATTTGGGAAGTAGACAATACACACAGGAAGGGTATACGAAACCCTTTATTTTTCTCTCTTTACAATGATTTCCGGACTTCGGAATACAGAGACCAACCGCTTGTTGGTCTGAACGTAAGAATATAAAAATATTAACTAAACTCTAACTAAACTTAACTTTGGATTAATCAAACAAGTGCCTACTCCAAGATTGGCCGTATATTAGCAAAAAGCCGTATGTAGTACAGATAACTGCTAACACTACGATACGTTTAAAATTATCAAGAAGATTAAACCTCTGGCCTTGAAGGCAACCAGCAACCGAGTAAAACTACTCTGGCAAGCGGCCTGCTTCTAATAGCTCCTTCCTCTCTCTTGCTTGGCAAAAAGCCACAACTTAAGTACTTGACGTTCGCAAGACAAATTTGCATAAATAAGTTAAAGCTTTTAATTCTGGCCGGAAGTAGAAAATAAGAAGTGATAGTAAAGATTTAACATAAAATAAACGTTAGTAAAACTTAAGATCCTTACAGGCTTGCCTGCTTTATAGCTCCCAATTTACTTCTCGTAATTAATATTAGGTATTCCTTTACTCTTTATTCTCCAGATTGAATGATGCTAAAAAGTTATTTGCAACTTACAGCTTTAGACATTATTGCTCATACAATAATTTTAATAATTAATGAAAAAATCTGGAGGGTGTAAACGGCAACGGTCATTCTTTAGAATGACCATTTATACCCTCCAGATTTCATGGCCTCACTGACAATATTTTCAGTTTTAGCTACAACAAATGTATTTGTTAAGAGCTATTAAGGGGTGTTGGAACCCCAAAATCTTCAAAAAATTGTAATTTCGAATTTTTGCATTTTCAAATTCTCTACACTTTTATCTTTCTAAAAATACCATTCTTTAATCTCTATGAAAATTAGAACTGTAAGAAAATCTAGTTTTAATTTGTCATCTAGACTGCTTTGATCAATGAGAATTTTTACATAAAAACGCGTTTTTCTCCAAACGTGATTTTTTTTTTGTACTTGATGTACCTTTTCTCAGGAACTACTGCTCACAGGTATCTAAACTTTTATGGCGTATTTATTAGGTTCTCTAATATTTACTGAAATGAGCTTTTTGTAATAAACTTAGAAAAAAAAATTTAATTTTTTTGTGTGAGAAAAGTGCTAAATTTTACTATGCCTAAGAAAATATTCTGTAATTTATTCTAAAATTCAAAATATTTCAAAAGCTCATTTCAGTATAATCAGATAGGTATGCATACATACACATTTAATTACAGAAAAAATTGCAAGCTTGTATCTACAGCAGATTTTGAGAAAAGGTACATCAAAAATGGCCAATTTAACATTGTCGGTATAGGGGTTTCTGATACCCCTTAAAAGACTTCAGAAATGCTAATGGATAAAGCAGTTGTTATGTTTATAAGGTATTTCTCCCACTTTCCTAGCGTGCCTTCGTGGTGTAGTGGTTCTGCATGCTGGGCCGGTATTCCAGAGGTCTGTGGTTCGATTCCCGGCGAAGGCGATTGCTCATTTTTCACATCTTTCCTGCTTCCAAAAATTAACCTAATGTCTCTACAGGCTCCCGAACTAAAAGGGTGTTGGATGAGGTTTTTCTACACCTAGGATTTGGCGATTGGGTCCCCTGAAAACCACAGTCACCCCTTAAAAAGGGAGTATCTAAGGTATTTCTCCCACTTTTCTAGCGTGCTTTCGTGGTGTAGTGGTTCTGCACGCTGGGCTGGTATTCCAGAGGTCCGTGGTTCGATTCCCGGCGAAGGCGGTTGCTATTAACCTAATGTTTATACACGTTTTAGGAAGTTTTTCTTGTAAACTATAGCTTTAGCTAATCGAATAACACTGCGTGGTATATGCAATGAGTACACCATTTATTTCGCAAATATTTGTGTTTATATCATATGATAGTTAAATACCTTAAAGAAATATATAGAAAATGATGATTTTCCACCTAGAGTACTGACTATACAGCTGATAACCTTAGTAAAGCAAGGAATAAGAATAAAAATCTGTAATGTGATAATTATTTTATAAATCTTGAACAATACACGTATTTGATTCTTCATTGAAAATAAAGCAGACTGCCACACAGAGCTTATGATCAATAAATAGTTATTTTATAATTTGAAATGCTTCTTATAGTTAATTTGTGAAATTTTTCAGATTTTTTTTGCAATACGTAATTTTTACCTTTTTACTTATTTTTGATTGTTCCTTTACTCCATGGAATAAACACGAAGGATATGGACAGTGTGCTAACATTTGACGATTATTGCTTTTCAGTGATTCTCTGGAATAAAAATAATAATTTTTAAATGCAAATGAGAAGTCTCAAGAAAATAATTTATTTCATTCTAAATTCAAATAATACTAATACTCGATTAATTTATTTCAAAACTGAAGGACGTTCATTTTATTCCATTAACATTTATAAATTAACTGTTAGTTAATACAAATATTAAGACGTGGTTTTAAGAATATACTAGAACTTTGTTAATAATGATTCATAATAATAACCCTAGAACTTTATTAATGATACTTAATTATATATATCGCGTCATAGGTAAATTTCTAGAGTAATTCAGAAGTTATTTTTAATTTACATTAATAGAAATATTCTTTAGTTATTAAATTAACTGCAAATTAGCTGAATAAAGGCAGCAAAAGAAGTAAAAAATAGAAGCATGGAATAGGGTTTGTAACTAAAGAAAGCGTCTCATTACCTTAAATACCGAATTATCTTTAATCCTCTCTATTTTATAAAAAAAATAAAACCGCAAAATAGGCATAAAATACTACGAAACTTCATACATTTTCTAAGAGGCAGCTTTAAAACTGATTTTTTAATACAAAATACAACTTCCATTTTAAGTGTAAAGTATGTATCATGCAGAGTTACTGATGAGCAATAAATAAAATGTTTTCAATAATAACAATTAATAAACAGTCGTTCAAATTAGCGAAATTATTTTAATTAATATTATCTGGAAAAGATTTGAATGAAACATTAAGGTAATGTAGATTTCTGGAGATATTTTTACTAGTAAAAGGACTCTATTATCAATATGTTATATGCTAGTATTGAATAATTAAAATAATTAGCAATAAGGAGTGATTATTATTAAAAATTGCAGAGACTTATTAAACACGAAAATTTGTTAAGATTCATTTTATTCTTTTTACAGAACCAATATTAATATTTTGCTTACCCCGAAATTTTCCAACAGTAACGTTTCAAGTTGTTGATTCCATTCTTTTCTGCTGACTGAAAAAATTCCAGATCTTATAGAAGATTTGTGTAATTTAAATTCTGTATTGCATAAAATAGCAAAGACACAAAAATGGAATGTAAAGTTTTATTCCTCAAAGAAAACAATCCGTCTACAGTGTAGAAGGATGTGATATTTCGGCTCTAATGTGTAAATATCTTTCAGATTTCAAGGACAGGAGGAAAAACAATGCCCCTAGAATATGCTGCTCCCAGGGAAATATCAATGGCGATTGGGCATAAAGTGTTCATTCGGCATTTGTAAAAGATATTGGTCACTCGAAGAGCATTGGATCATATCTCTTTCCAATCCATTGTTTAATTCTGATGCCATCAATAAAAGTATATAATATATTATATCGTATAACGCGGTAACTTGCCATCACAGGTTTTTGATGGTATAGTGCCAGGTAATGCGACTTACTTGAGCTAGAAAGGGCCACCATTGGACGATGAAAGACTAATGAAACATGACTAGGTGACAAGAATAACATTTTCAACTGTTCCGAAACTGTTGCATTTATTTGTACGTATTTTATAACCCGACCAGGCTTCTCATTCATCCTGCCAGCATGTGCATGAAAGCTGGCTGTCTCTTGTTCAATAAACAGGCAAGTTTAGATTCCCAACGATTGAGTTCAGTGACGTCACTTCACTTACAGTGATGTTTTGTGGGGAAAGGAAGTTACAACTCCATTTAGTTCTCAAGTTGCTGTGGAGCAGACTATAAACCAGTGACGTCACGAGCTAAAAGATTTCTTGTCGAGAAGAGCAAACCTTATAGCATAGTAACCTTGCGCGGTCTCTCTTTTATAATGATTGCTTTTGGAGTGCACTAGAATGACTGAAGACTGCCTTGACAGGAAACCGTACGCAAATCTCAAGACATCATCATCATTCCTTTATGAATGCGGTATCTTCAGCCTAATGGTCTGTGCCAGAAGTAATACAAGTTTCCTATAATCAGGTGTGACACAGAACTGGTTCAATGGACAGCTTATTGATTTCCAGGTAATTAACAGTCTCCACGCTTGTTCAAATTTAGATCTTGTCGAACACTTATTATTTTATCATGTAGATCTAATTATATGCCTTAAAAAGAACACATGAACAAATAAGATTACATTAGGCACAGCAGTAGATCTCTCAAGCTTCATCCAACACGTTTTTGACCTCACACCACATCGAACAGCCATTACTGCGCGAGTGCATAAACAAGCTTTACTTTATCAGCTGATAGTGTTTAATGTTTTAGCATATAATATAAGCAAATCTCTTTTTTAAATTGTTATTCTCTTTAGCCATACCTATGATAGTTCTCAAAAATGCTCTTTCTGTTTCCTGATAGCAGGCATCTATGCTAGATTACGCGATAATCTTTCATGTTATTAGCAAGTTTTTACTTCCTTGTACGAAATAAAAAGGAAGTATTGTAATCGCGAAAAGTTTCAGGCAGCATATTTCAACGCAAATATCCATTTTGACCGCTATCGAATGCAATTTAACGATGTTTTTGCGTGATATCTGTACGTAAGGACAGAATAAAATACTCTTTTCCTTCAAACAATTCTGAAGAGAATTTTTCGTGGCGTCTGTACGAACGTATGTACGTACGTGCGTACGTATCTCGCATAACTCAAAAACGAGTAGCCTCAGAACGTTGAAATTTTGTATATAGGACTGCTATAACATGTAGATGTGCACCTCGTATTTTGGTTGCAATCGGCCGCACCAAACGTATATAAATATATTTATATATATATCCACTCTATTACCCTGCTCAGTGATCTCAGTTTCTTTACTCTTATATATTTGTAAATTGTACATTTTTTTTCTTTAAAAATGATTTGTTTTTATCTTCCGGTTAAGGATTTTATGCCTTTAGTAAATCTGTGTGCAATATTTTTAGAATTATCAGCAATTTTAAAGTTGTTTAATTGCCGCTAAGCCTGTTTTAATGGCGGCCATTGATGTTTACATTTGAAACAGGAGACTAGTGGATTTGTTGCCAATCTAGAGAAACTTAGCTTCGCAACAACAAAGATAACGCATTCATTTATTATTGCCAATTAAATCATGTTTAATTCTTTCTGGAATTTTTTCGAGGAAATGAGCTTTTGAGATTTACTTCGTAATTTTTAATATAGACATTTTGAGTTTTTATGTATTTTTGCCTTCTCGCGAAGTGAGAACTGAATTAATTAAATGAGAAATACTCAATCGTCTGTGAAAAATTGTTTCTTTTTTTGTTTTGTTTGCTTAATTTCTTTTATACATAGTTCTAGCTTTATTATAGTATTTGAATAGAACATGTGGCAACGATTAGATAATTCTTTAAATGATATACATTTTGTGCATTCTGAGTTATAATATGAATGAAATATAATACTATTAAGTAAACCTAGCGCCAGAGTGTCGCTATGGTAAACAAAGTGAATTTTAAAGAGTGCATTTATTCTATTGTGGTTTATGCGCTGTCGGCGAAGTAGGTTTAATTCAATCTAATAAGTTTAAATAAAATGCAAGAAAAAATGCGTATAATTTAATATTCCGTACAAGGAAGTCATGTGGTGTACACATCAGATTTTTTTAAATAATACCTTTGAATACGTTATTTATGCTTAATGAACTAAAATTATAAAGTGTATAAGACTCTGATTACTGTCATTATATATCAGGGAAAGTATGTATGTATGCAATATTGGGATTATTTTTCCACGGTATTTTGTACGAGGGTGCTTTAAAACTGACATATTTTTTAATCGCTTTAATTTCTACCACGATGTTTCAGATCGTTCGGGTTTTTCTTGCTAACAATGTTCGGGATGTTAAGAGTATTCGGGAATGTTAAGAGTGTTTGTGTAGTATAAAACGTGATAACCCAAGAAACGAGAGTGGATTAAGTGAAATTAAAGGTTTTTTAATCGGGGCTTTTCTTGAACTTAACAGAACAGACGAACAGTGAATATCAACCTACGGCATATGAAGAAAGCATAAGATGGTAACAGGTGATAACTTGGCATAATAACGTTTGCGTCATATCAGATCTTCTTTGCCATTACATTAGGTCAGCAGGTACTTGTCTGTTGTTCCTTGTGTTGCTTCACTTTGCTGGATTCCTACTTCCTTGAAGTTCGACAGCGAAATTTCATGTCAGAATTCCGTGCATGACATCTCCACACCACGATGGAGAGAACCATAATTACTGGGATTGGCCACAAGGCCGTTAACCAGGATGGCACACAGTTCTGGGTTCTACTGAGGGATTATATATCGTTTCATTTCTTATTCTCTTCAGCACTAGGCAGACGCAAGGGCCAATGCAGATTTCCCAAGAAGAATCCCAATAAGCTGATTATTTCAAACAGAAAGATTGTTAGAGCCTTCAATAAATATTCTGCTGGCCTTGGTCCCGATAACAATTTATAATTGGCAATTGAGAGCAGAATCCGGACAACCAAACGGCTTACACAGACTATTCGGATTCTATATTGCCCGAATCCCGCAACTGTCGAGAACAACGCTTTAAAACTAAAAGGTTGAATATTGCCATATAAGGGCTGGCTGCATCGTACTAAAGAACTTTTGTTGATACATACATGAGACGAAGGATAATTGATACACATATTAGATCACAGTTTATCCGATTTGCTAGTACACGTTGGTGAAACGTCAATTGAGATTTATAACTTGCTTGGATAAATGACCTTCTAAACGAATGGCAAAATGCTAAAAGTATCCCAATCTTCAAAAATGGTAAAATTCCTGGTGAACTCTCAAGTTGTCGACCTATCTTGAGTACATTAATAGAACCCCCGATTTTTAATGGACTTATTGTTTACCTGGAGAAATATAATTGCGTTTCTGACAATCAGGTGGGTTTCGGAAAAATATGAATACTGTGGAAGAGGCAGCCAGGTTAACTGAATTAATTAAAGATGATTTTCAGTGTAAACAGAGTGCACTGGTTTTATGTACTGATACTCATACTGCCTCTGATAGAGTGTGGATAAAAATTATTCTTAAAATTCTTAAAATTATTCTTAAATTATGCTTAACGGGATTTTCTTTGCGCCACCTATAAGACTTATATTAGACCTCCTATGAAATATGGAGCTGATCTATTGTTTACATAACCTGAGAACATCCAAGAAAATGCAGAATTGTTCAAAACACTTTCCTTAAAATAATCACAGGCGTTTCTCATTTCAACTCAACTGAAGTTATGAAATTTCAGCTTTTTCTTTGACCATCTGCTGACTGGAGGCGAACAACTACTTTGAAACTACTTGAAAAACTTCCAAGACGTGATAATTTTTAGCTGAAATATATACCTGTTTGACTTAGATTAAAAACTCGGAAATTTTTTTTAGGATTTGAGCAGTCAAATTTGACGTTTTTATCTGTGGTAGAAGTCCTTTGTTTAAACCAGCCATCTGTCGCAAACTCGTCAATATACAAATCCAGTCTAGACCTGATTTTCGCTTAAGTAAGAAACATTTCACGAATACAACGCTCGGGAAGTCTGCTGTTGCAGCAATTGAAGAAAGATACCCTTCTGCAAATCAGCAGCAGATGTACATGGATGGTTTCGCTGTGAATGACATTAAACACGCTGGAGCCATTCGTCTAAGTAGGCAGCCGGTATACTCAAAATATTTTTATCTCGGTACGGCTGTTGACTTTCATGGTAGAGTGGCTGCTGTTTCTATAGATTTTGAAGATTTTGGCAAAGGAATGAAGTCAATTACCGAGGCTATCATTGGAGCACTTTCTTCTGTAGCCGTTAATGGTAAAATATCTTCTTACGGACAGCCATATTGTACTTAACTTTCTTTTGAAAAGACATATTTCTTTACAGTATATCTTGGCCACTGTGTCATTATCGGAAATGACCAGATTTAGAAGAGGCTGGTTTTCGTTTACCTCAATCAGCTTCTGTTGCTGACTTTTCTACTATTAAGAGACTCAAAAGTCCATTGTCTCTGCATATAGGCTAAACCTCCTTGTAAAACTGGCTAGGGAGAAATCTAGGGTTCCTTATTTAAGGCTCTATAATTTACCTACAGCTATGAGAGGCAAATTTTCGTTTAAAAAGTGGCCTGAACTATTTTTAAAAATAGCTTCATGGTAGGGGTCAGGCGGATTCACAAATATGTCTTTTATGTGGCCTGGCTGGCGTGATTGATGACCATCTGAACATTTGATGTGATCTTAATGATGTTGCAGATGCTAGGTTATTATTTCAATGCTAAGTTAATGCTAAGTTATTGTTTCAAATTTTATTGGGTCGTCCCGTACAGATGTCTGTCGGCTACTAGCTGAAAAACCGAAGTCCGATGTAGGAATTTTTCTTACAAAATCAGTAAGCTGTAAGAAAAGTGGTTAAAATGAAAATATACACAATAAAATACATATATGGCAAAGCAAAAAAAAAAAAAAATAAAATAACAAATTTCATGTCATGCAAATTTCAAAACATTTAGATTACTTCATTTGTAATGTTGACAAATTTATTAAAATTTAATTTTAAAAATGCAGAACCATAAGGAAAATTAACATATTTTAAAAAAAGAAAATCAAAATACCAGAATCACTAGCTGTTGAGCAATAGCGTCCACTAATCTTTTGATTTCGAGAACACGAATTCTTGATGATTTGCTTCTAGGGGGAAAAATTAGTCATTTTATTCTCTGTTATATTATTAGCAAAACATTATTTTCTGATTCTCTTAATTTCAGATTTTCTTTTAATTTTCTGATTGTTTTTCAACTTTCACAAATCTTTATATTTTTCTTTATATTAAAATTCTGAATCTGTAAAATCATTGTAAAATCATTGTTCCGTGAAAAACGCGTTCAGATTTTTAAAAAAAATTGAACCTTAATGGAAAAAATATCAAGTTATCGTTATCAAACCATACAATAATTCTTTAATATGCATCCTCTTTCTCGACATTGAGTAAAGCAACTGAAAACAAACTACAAAGTGCACTTAGCTAAATGCTAAAATTTAAATTTTCATGATTTTGTAAGGATATGAATAATATTATTTAACGGACCAAGTTTGCTAAAAACTTTAAAATCCTTTTAATGCTCTATGTTTTCTCTGAAACCTCTAAATTGAAAGTGAGATAAGAAAATCTTAGTGCAACAAAAAAAAAAAAAAATAGTTATCAAAATCCCGCCAATACATGACTATGCAGTTGCAGCATTTATGCCCATACAGGTTCCAGTAGATAGAAAAGTGAAATTTTGAAAGCATTAAACCTTCGATAACACTCTATCGATTCATCATTTCAGCAGTGTCAGGATTCTTAAGGTTTCGAAGACGCTTAATGATTTTTATAAAACCCAGAAATTTAAGACTTATTATTTTAAGTTTGTTAATTTTGTATGGAAATTTGTCCACAAATTTCTTTATTAAAAAATAATTTTCTATGAAATAATTTTGAATAATTTATACTTTTTCGTCAGTATTCTAAAATATATTTGCTTATGTTACATACACGTGAACGTTAGCAACTGTTTAGTAATCAAAAATTAAAGTAATCAAAAAACAAATCTTTGACTGCCTAGAACGAAATGATTATCTCTACATATAATAAAAGTAAAAGTCTGTCTGTGTGTGTGTGTATTTCGTTCGCGCTGCGGCGTAAGCTAATAGACCCACGGCTACGAAATTTGGTACATAGGTGCATCTAGACAAGAGCCAGTGCACCTTGAAGCGATTTTTTCGAAATTCGAATTCGAATTTTTTTTTATTTTATGTTTTGTGACGAAATCGCGTCATTTTGAGACATAATGGGCTATAGGAAAGCGAGATTTTACTCTACACACTCCATTTTCACATCGTCATGAAACGTAGGCACTTAGCTATTTTACGAACTTAAAATAAATTTTGTTTCAATAAATCGATTTAATACGAATTTATTTAACAAAGGGAGCTTAACACCTTTTCAACGGGATTTTTTCTAAAAAAGTTTATTTTTAAAAATGTACAGTTTATTTTTCTTTGATTTTTGGACACGTTAAACTTTCATCCTTGCGACTGCTTTTACAAAAGAATTTTGGAAAAATGATAATATTTTGTATTTTTAAATTTTTTTTTTAAATGAAGCTTCCGAGTACACTTCTCACATCTCACATCTTTAAAAATGTGATTTTGGCAACAATTTTCCTTTTTTATTGTTGTTGATAGATTTTTGATGAAATCGCATCATTTTGAATAGTTTCATTCTTTTAGAAATATGGGTTTGGCAACAATTTTTCATCGTATTTCTTATGTCACTGTTTTTAAGAGATTGGCATATTTCATTGTCATTTATATATATATATATATAATACATTTGTATTAATTTTTTTTTTTCTTTTTAATAAAGTTGTTTTGTAGAGTAAAATTCTGCGCGGAATTTTATGTTTTTTGAGTTGCTTTCATGTTATTTTTTGCTTATTTCACTGTTTGTAAGATATTGAAAAGTTTTGCATGATTTTTTTTTCTTCAACAAGTTGGTTCATTTTTTTATTAGGATAATTAATATTGTATTAAGGGATTTATTTTTATAAATAAATATTTATTATAATTTTTTTATTCCCTTATAATTTTTTCTCTTGAAAATATAAGATAAAATATCATTAATTATACTTTGCTTTTCAGAATTTTTGTTTTTTGTATTCTTTTATGTTATTTATTGCTCATTTCACTGTTTTTAAGATATTGAAAAGTTTTGAGTGATTTTTTTAGGAAACAAAGTTCTTAACCTCCTTTATACCATTTGAGTTCTTAAGATTTCGCAAAGGGAAATTGGTTAATTTATTTATTAGGATAATTAATATTTGTATTAAGGGATATTGCTTATTTCATTGTAATTTTGTTATACGTAATAACTTTTTTTTATGAAGTTGTTCTGCAGAGTAAAATTCTACGCAGTTTTTAAGTTTAACGTTTGGTGTTTCTTTCGGCCATTTTTCCGGTATATTTAAAAGCCAGACGAAGGCTGGCAGCGAAGCTGCTAGTATGTATATATTGTACAAAGAAATCTACTTGAATTTTATTCTAATTGTTTTCGCACTGTGTATAAGTTGTCAAAAATAATAAATCCTTACCCTTCAATAATGTAGTTATAATTTTTGCCTTCAAGCTTTTCATTCGTCTCCACTTCAGGCCAAGCTTTTTTCTATAAATAAGATAGAGTAAACAATGAAACTAAACGCATACTATTTGGATGCGTGCGTATTTATCATGAACTTAATCAAATTACATATAGCACGTGTAAATGTTTTAAGTTTAAGGTGTTAAAAGTTTATTTTAAGAGACTTTTGCAATATTCTAGAAATAATGAAACTTTTCTATTATGAAATAAAATACTTAATTATTTTTTGAAAAAATTAATAAAAATACTTGCTTTTTGGTAAGAAGTTAAGAAGAATGTTCAGAGTTCATAAATTTTTCAGTCATTCGAAATACAGAGTTTTCGAGAAGTTAATATGCAATAAAATATGCCACCTACAACAGCAGAGGTTTTGATGCAAGAATCGTTCAATCTTCAATGATTCCAATCCACAGAATCTCTTTGATAATATAGCAGAAGGAATGCTTCCAGAAAAAATGACTTCAAAACTGCAGGAAACTTTTCCAACAATTACCGTAATTTTTATGTGGTTCTTTATAGTATAAATAATTTATGAGAAACTATGTGAATGGACATGATTGGCATTGTTTATATATGTATTCCCAACCTATTTATGCGTTTACTGTATATTAAATTAAATTTACTGCTATGATAATATTAATTAAAAAACTGTCCAACTGGTTGATTGATGAATAATTTTCTAGAAACTATTTTTAATTTTTTTTTTTTTTTTTTTTTTTTGTCGAATAAATTTTTAGATGATAATTAAAATGCGCATTTCATCAAGAGTTACGTAATGAACTTTATTATCAAGAATTGATAAAATGAATGCAATGTAAGGCCTGACTAGAAGACTTTATAGAAAATTAATTTCCTGTGGGATTCAGTTTCAAGAAGTTTCATTATGTTTACTTTAATGCTATGAATACACCCACTTTCTGAGAAAAAAGTAAAAGTAACGGTTTCCGAAAGATACGGCATCTTATTTCACTACAGCGTTTCCTTAGAATGCTTAAATGTTAACCGTGTAGAGTTGCGTGCCTCCAACCTGCACGCAACCAAGAGGTGACTGTTGAAACTGGAAAATAGACAGAGTCTTGCTAAGGGTTTAAGTCCCTTTTTATTCAACTTAAGAAATTACAATTGCGTGCTCTTGACGCTCACAAACTACGCCGACCCGGCGGTAAAATAAAAATAAGAACCTGAAAAGAAACTAAAAAGACAAGACTCTAACTACGAGGCTCTCTAAACGTAACTAACCTCACCGCGTTTTACAATACCGCTGCTAATTCAGCAAACTTTGAATATCAAGTTGAACGACTAACAATTCTCCGAGGCAAGCACACAGGCCGAAACGCGGGGTTCTTCAATTTCTGGCTAACTACCTCCGCGCTCGTGAAGTAAGAACAGCACACCTCGAACTCGTTTCCTTTCTATTTAACTCAGAAACTTCCGCTGATAATTTGAATCCTTGCGCGTTCTACTAAAATTTACATACTCTGGCATTGGCAGTTCCAGGGGAAAGTAAGGCTTGACAGGAAAGATAGTTTAAACTTAAAATAAATGTTAGTTAAAATAAATATAAACCCTACAACCGGTAAAGGTTTAATTGCTACATACTTAAAATTTCTGTTAAAAAGCAGCATAGAGAAACATAAAGTATTCCACCAGGAATAAAAAGTATGAAATAATTTCAGAGGAAGGGGGGAAAAAAGAAAATGGCATCGAAAAGAAGATTGTCGAAACATCTATAGCAGTGCTCCGCAACCGGTGTGCCGCGGCACACTGGTGTGCCATGAGTAGGATATAGGTGTGCCGCAATCAAATACATGTATTTGACATTTTGCAATTTTTTATCATGTATTTAATACACAATGACAATTTTTTTTCCTTAATAATGTCTATTTTAAATGTTTTTATATATTTCACTGTTGTGTGGTTGTGTGTGTGATTGTAAGTGTGTCAGCATTTGAATTTTTTCGGCACTTCCTTGATAACTCGGAACTCTTTGGTGTGCCACGAAATTCCAGAAAGATTTTTTGTGCGTCGCAGGTGAGAAAAGGTTGCGGAGCACTGATCTATAGCATCAAGTCATAAAGATAAGATCATTATCATTTTTTTGACTATACAAAATGCCCGATACACTAGCTTATTTTCTGGTGCGCTGCCTTCCCATATTTTTCAAAATTTGGGTCAAATCCTGTCGTTTTCACATTGTATTCTGACGCATTATGCAATCCTGAAAACTATCCATTTCAGGTACAGTTACAGTTATTCGGCAGCACTAGAACGCAAAAATAACTACACTCTTATATAATGTTTCCGCATTTACAGTAGATTGATCCCAATTTTTTTGTTTACTAAAATACTGGTGGTCAGTTGTGTTAAAATTCTTTTTAAATGGGAAAATTATGTTTTCTATCTCCTGCAGCAGTGAACTAAAAGATGAAAGCATAACCATGATAAGCATAAGTTATAAGGGTGTTCCTCCTTGCTTATCGCGTGCCTTAATGTTGTAATTTGAAGCACGTTCGGCTGACAGTTGAGAGGTCCGGAGTTCGAATCTCAGAGAGAGCATTTTATTTTCATGCTTCCTAATGATTCTGCAGTGGCGCCGAATCTAAAATGCAGTGGACGATAATGCGTCACGAACTGGATTTAGCGACTGGGTCTCCACTTCCGCAATCATATATTAAGGGGCTAAGAATGAAAGCATTTTCTCCTTTTTTATCGGGCCATACCTTCGCGGTGTAACTGAAAGCATCCTCCTCTAACTTCAGGGACATGCCTTCGAGGTGTAACTGCAAGAATGTCTGGCTGGTACCTCGGGATGTCCGGATTTCGAACCTTGGGAAAGGCACTGCTGATTTTTAATGCATTTTGAGAAGTGTTCGTTCTCAAAATTGTGGCAGAACTGCATAGCTAGTGCTGCGGGTCTATACCTGACGACCAATGGTGAATTTCTTATGCTCCGCCCACTTCTACCGGTACTTGTTAAATTAAAGGCACGACATGATTATAACAACAATAACCTGTTTAGATTTACAGCATCTTTTGGGCCCGAAGGAATGAAGCTCACTATCCAACGCTTAAAAAATTTGACCAACCTTCGGCAGCTTTAAATTTCTATCGAGCGGCGTCCTCCAACAAAACTGCAGTACGTTGGAAGGAATTCCACTGAGCTTCCGACTAAAATTATTTCCTACTTTTAACTTGCCGTAGAATTGCCGCAGAATCTCCCGTTTGCTGTAAAATTTGCAGAACTCTCTAGTCTCAACAAGGAACTTGATAGCACAGGGCATATACGAAAGAAATTAACATGAAGTAAACTGTCATATAAACATAAATCTTAAATGTCGCAGGATTTCTGACCGTTAAATGAAAAACAGTAGCTTATAGAGTATGATTATGAATAACGTTAATTTATCCTTAGGTAATTATATCCTTGGAAATAAAGATTATTTTCTTAGATCGTCATCTTTGAGTAATGATCCTCGTGAGGTATTTCATAGTATTAATATCCAAGATGATTTGCAAATTTTCCATGTGTTATTGTATAATCAGCTTTCAATTATTTGATCCAGATGACCTTTGTTAAGTCTTACTGTCGTTATTTATGCAGAGAAGTAAATTTTGATCTATTGCTTCTGCTAATTTTAAAATTAGTAACAGTAATGTTTTACCGTAAAATCTCTCTTAACCCTTTCCGGCACGCTGCCTTTTAAAGTTGGAGTTTTGATTAAAAAAAAGAAAAAGGATGTAGGCAGTCTAATTAGGCCTAGAGGAGTACACAAGTGAAATTTTGTGAAGATAACACATATCGTTTAATTCTGTGAGCTCACTGATTGAATAGAGCTTCGAAAAGAGTGCTGAAACGAGCATTGTTGTCAATGAACTGACCAATGAGATGCGGAGAAACAAAAAATATAGACTCTCAGTTGTCCTAGATTTTCGGCGAGCCCGGTCTGGGCACACCTAGGGTTCGCCGTTTGATTTTAGGCAAGATTTCAAGCTAAAAATTTAAAATTAATATAGAATAAGGAGATTAGCATACAGCCAAAAACGTAACATAGAAATTTCTTTTCAAACAGTTCCTTTCATACCCTAAAAAAAATCTGGAAGATTTATTTGAAAAATAAGGGTCTTAAAAAACTAAACATGGCTAAAATATATGGACTGTTTTGTGTTTAGCTTCCATCTATTATAAATAAAGAAGGTTCAGAGTAACCTATAGTAACCTATAAATCCTTTTTCATTCAATTTTTCTGTACATACAGAAGGAAATTTTTAGGTGTGTCCAGACCGGACACACTGTGCCGCAAAAGGTTAAACGGCATCCAGTTAACAACTAATATTGATATTACGCACTATTAAAGGGCTAAATTTAAATTCGAAATTCAAGAGATTAAAAAAAAACATGTAATGAGAAAATAGTCCGAAGACTTAAATGTGAAAATCCTTTGTATTAAATTTCTGCTGCCCAATGTGACAAGCCTTATCCAACCAAAGAACAAAGGAATTGTCCAGAATACGAAGTTGAACTACGAATCTCTTTTATATTTCGATGTAAACTTTCAAGATAGTGTCTACAATTTTCAGAAATAATTCCCAATGAAAGTCGCCAGATTTGCTTCGTCTCTTGTTTGGAAAGTTGTCAAGAACTTTACTTCGCTGTTGGCGCAATTGTGGCCTATGACTATGTTCGTAGATGACGAGTCGAGGGAACATATCTGGCGTTCGTGGCTGATATCTTGAATTTAGTTATATATTCAGAGAAGGTTAGTATTAGTCAAAAAGTGGTACAGATTTTTGGTGAATTCTATTCCTATGATTCTCAAAATAACGATGAAATAATATGAATGTACAGGGAAAGGAGAAAGATAGATGAAAAGGAAAAGAGGAAGTGAAGATGAAGACGGCACGCAGAGTAATAAAGTTATTGGAAGGAAGCTAACGAAGGATTGCAAACTTTATTAAGATTTGCCTAGAACTTTTCTTTTATATCATCACATGATGTTATGACCATCATAGTATAAACAATGACTTTTTAAAACTA